AAAACTCAGGTATGTCTGATAAAACAGTGAAATGGAGAAATTAAGCTAAAACATTTTAAGATAACAGTATAATTGTTCATAAAGTTTCATTTATATCAGAAGTGCTGTCATTGTTTTCATTTTTTATACAGAAATGATATTAAGATTAGATTTCCTTTATCCTTCTTTAAAGCAATGAAGTAAATAAAACTTGTTTTCTTTGATGATATATTAAGAAGTAAGTCCTTTCTGACAGTTTTGTAGGGTGAAAAAAGAAATTATCAGTTTCGGGCCTGCTCCGATTGTACCGATGTGCCACTGGGACAGACTTTATATACTAGTACCGTAGGCACGTCATTTATCACCGCTCATATTAAATGACTTGACGTTCTTTTTCTTTTTTCTTGAATCATATACTTCTACTTAATAGTTTTTATCATTGATGCATGCAAGTGTTTTTGTATAGTGAAAATATGGAGATATTTTGTACAGATTATTTAATGTAATGACTGACTTTTGTCAGCATGTTTTCGTATTTACATATCAATTATGATTTATTAAGATAAAAAATGTATTTTTCATATTGATGAAATTGATAATAAAATATTCAACTGTCAACTTTGTTCTAAATTTATGATAAATCCTTTTAATACCTTTTGAAGAGGTTTGTAAATTTAAAATCTGACCGAAGAGGAATTGTGAGTAATTTACTTGAAAATATCATTTATGCATAATAATACTTTGCTTGTGTTGGTTTTATCCTTTTTTATATGCCCGAAAGAATTTCGGGCATATTATGTTATACCCCCTGGCGTCCGTCCGTCTGTCTGTCCATCCGTTAGCAATTTGGTTTCCGGAGCATAACTTAAGTTCCATTTGGCCCACAATATTCAAACTTCATAGGATGATTGCCCATATTGGGTAGAAGACCCCTATTGATTTTGGGGTCACAAGGTCAAAATGACCTTAAAACTGAAAACAGTTTCCGGAGCATAACTTAAGTTCCATTTGGCCCAGTGTTCAAACTTCATAGGATGATTGTCCATATTGGGTAGAAGACCCCTATTGATTTTGAGGTCACAAGGTCAAGGTCACTATGACCTTAAAACTGAAAACAGTTTCTGGAGCATAACTTAAGTTCCATTTGGCCCACAGTGTTCAAACTTCATAGGATGATTGTCCATATTGGGTACAAGACCCCTATTGATTTTGGGGTCAAAGGTCAAGGTCACTATTACTTAGAAATTGAAAACAGTTACTTGAGCATAACTTAAGTTCCATTTGGCCCACAATATTCAAACTTCATAGGATGATTGTCCATATTGGGGTCACAAGGTCAAAGGTCAAGGACACTGTTACCTTAAAACTGAAAACAGTTTTCGGAACATAACTTAAGTTTCATTTGGCCAACTGTGTTTAAACTTCATAGTATGATTGTCCATATTGGGTAGAAGACCCCTATTGATTTTGGGGTCACAAGGTCAAAGTCACTATTACCTTATAACTGAAAACAGTTTCCGGGGCATATCTTAAGTTCCATTTGGACCACAATATTGAAACTTCAAAGGAGGATTGTTATTTGAAGAAGGTAATACTTTATTTAATTCCCTTGTCTTACAAATGCTTCATCTTAATTTAAAAAAAAAATCACTTTCGGGCATATAATGCTCCGCCTAGCGATGCTCTTGTTATCCACTTTATTTCCATTTCATGAGTTATGGGGTCTTTGTGAAGCAGTGAGCATATATATATTTATATAAAATAGCTTTATCAAACAATTCATTTAGACATAGTGATGGGTTTGCCTCATCCACTGGCATCCAGACACAATGCCTTATCTAATAATGGTGATTCACTTAAGTCAAATTGTCCACTTCTAGAATAATTAACCTTCAATGTTCATAATTTCATGATGGTTCAGTATGATTGAACCGGCAACTTGCCACTATCAGGTAAATGCTACACCACTAGAACCATCCATATGAAGTGCATGTATATAATCACACCACTGTCATACTTGGTATGCTATGAATAGTGCTTCATATTAATACTCTACTGGATTTTCAAATAATGCTAGAGTGAAACTGTAACTGATTGACAGAAAATTATGTCACCTAATGAACTCATTATATGACATGGGATATTTTCTGTTTTTACTGCTGACATGTTTATTCCCCCGACCATAGGGGTTTGAAAGCACACAGGTTCAGATCACAATATTTAATTTTTTTTTTTTTAATCTCATAAAGAAAAACAAAAAGAGTACAATAGTTTTACAATAGTTTATAACTGTTGTTTACAGTTAAACACATTTTATTTATCAAAAACAAACAAAATATTTCTTAGAAGATCAACAATACATAATGAAAAACATAACAGGTCATACCATAGAAAACTTATGTAGTGTGTTTTTTCCCCCCAACAATTCTAACATTACTTTTCTAACCTATTGCACATAACTAAATTCATCAACATTCATCGAGACACTTCATACCATGCAAATCAAACATTTAATATAAAATGAACCATGCATAATATTTCCAACTATATACGACTCAAGGTGCAAAACCCTACAAGTGTCCTGCCTACAGGTTGTAACATTTTTAAAACTACAAAAACCCTGTTTTAAGGAATAACACCACTAAAAAGAGTCATTCCTAAATGTAATACTGTTATAAGGACCCTGCCTACAGGCACAAAACTCAAGTAAGAGCCCTGCCTACAGGAAACACTCCTACAAGAGTCATGTCTTCACGTGTAACACACTTCAAAAGTGTGCCTACAGGTCAAAACTTTTCTACAAGAGGCATGTCTACAGGTCAAACTTTTCTACAAGAGGCATGTCTACAGGTCAAACTTTTCTACAAGAGGCATGTCTACAGGTCAAACTTTTCTACAAGAGGCATGTCTACAGGTCAAACTTTTCTACAAGAGGCATGTCTACAGGTCAAACTTTTCTACAAGAGGCATGTCTACAGGTCAAACTTTTCTACAAGAGGCATGTCTACAGGTCAAACTTTTCTACAAGAGGCATGTCTACAGGTCAAACTTTTCTACAAGAGGCATGTCTACAGGTCAAACTTTTCTACAAGAGGCATGTCTACAGGTCAAACTTTTCTACAAGAGGCATGTCTACAGGTCAAACTTTTCTACAAGAGGCATGTCTACAGGTCAAACTTTTCTACAAGAGGCATGTCTACAGGTCAAACTTTTCTACAAGAGGCATGTCTACAGGTCAAACTTTTCTACAAGAGGCATGTCTACAGGTCAAAACTTTTCTACAAGAGGCATGTCTACAGGTCAAACTTTTCTACAAGAGGCATGTCTACAGGTCAAACTTTTCTACAAGAGGCATGTCTACAGGTCAAACTTTTCTACAAGAGGCATGTCTACAGGTCAAACTTTTCTACAAGAGGCATGTCTACAGGTCAAACTTTTCTACAAGAGGCATGTCTACAGGTCAAACTTTTCTACAAGAGGCATGTCTACAGGTCAAACTTTTCTACAAGAGGCATGTCTACAGGTCAAACTTTTCTACAAGAGGCATGTCTACAGGTCAAACTTTTCTACAAGAGGCATGTCTACAGGTCAAACTTTTCTACAAGAGGCATGTCTACAGGTCAAACTTTTCTACAAGAGGCATGTCTACAGGTCAAACTTTTCTACAAGAGGCATGTCTACAGGTCAAACTTTTCTACAAGAGGCATGTCTACAGGTCAAACTTTTCTACAAGAGGCATGTCTACAGGTCAAACTTTTCTACAAGAGGCATGTCTACAGGTCAACTTTTCTACAAGAGGCATGTCTACAGGTCAAACTTTTCTACAAGAGGCATGTCTACAGGTCAAACTTTTCTACAAGAGGCATGTCTACAGGTCAAACTTTTCTACAAGAGGCATGTCTACAGGTCAAACTTTTCTACAAGAGGCATGTCTACAGGTCAAACTTTTCTACAAGAGGCATGTCTACAGGTCAAACTTTTCTACAAGAGGCATGTCTACAGGTCAAAACTTTTCTACAAGAGGCATGTCTACAGGTCAAACTTTTCTACAAGAGGCATGTCTACAGGTCAAACTTTTCTACAAGAGGCATGTCTACAGGTCAAACTTTTCTACAAGAGGCATGTCTACAGGTCAAACTTTTCTACAAGAGGCATGTCTACAGGTCAAACTTTTCTACAAGAGGCATGTCTACAGGTCAAACTTTTCTACAAGAGGCATGTCTACAGGTCAAACTTTTCTACAAGAGGCATGTCTACAGGTCAAACTTTTCTACAAGAGGCATGTCTACAGGTCAAACTTTTCTACAAGAGGCATGTCTACAGGTCAAACTTTTCTACAAGAGGCATGTCTACAGGTCAAACTTTTCTACAAGAGGCATGTCTACAGGTCAAACTTTTCTACAAGAGGCATGTCTACAGGTCAAACTTTTCTACAAGAGGCATGTCTACAGGTCAAACTTTTCTACAAGAGGCATGTCTACAGGTGACCTGTCTTTACCTGTCTACAGAGACATGTTTACATGTCAGACACACCTACAAGAGCCATCTTAAAAGATGTAATACTTTACAAGAGCCCTGCCTTCAGGTGTAACAAATTTACAAACATTGCACCTTTCTGGTATACAAACAAACATCTTAAAGATTATTACAAAGTGCCAATACAGACTGTACAGTTAACCAAAGCATCAAACCTATCCTGCACATGAACATTACAAAAACGCAATGACACTTTACACAAAATGCAAGCCACGTGAAGACTATTTAGTTTACATGTATTCACCACAATCATATGCATAGTAGTTTAAATGTTATTAAAGAGTGAATATCTAAATCCTCAATATTGCCCCCTTTCTGGTATAAAAAGATTAATTAAATATTATTCAATATCAATCATAACAGTTATAATATATACAAATATCCAAATACATTCAGAGCTGATTAAGACAGGAAGGTGTATTACTAACCCAGTTATTCATTTACAAGTATAAATGCGATATTGCACCTCTTAACAATATAATATATACATTTTTTTTAACATAATGCAGACTAGTGGAGATTTGAACACAGATCTATCATGTATGGGTATAAGATGTAAATAATGTTAAATAGTACTCTTTCATGTAAAGGTTTTCCTCAAAACACAATACAATTAATTAAACTGGTATAAATGTATATTTTAAATTGTGGTCTTACTTCAAAGTTACTTGTGAAAAAGACAGATAATAAAGGCCATAGCTAAAAAAAAACGTTTCTAAAATAACATAAAAAGTCTGTAAAGATGCTTGCCACTTCCCCTGGCAACCATGAGCTTCCATAAGTTGAAGTTTGAAGGTCATTTACTTCTTGATTTGGCTTGTGATTTCCAAAATGTCCTGGTTTTTCCTTATTTCCTATATAATGTAACTCAGTGTTTGAGAGTTTGCAGTCTCTGACTTACAAAAAACACCAATAAACAGTTTCCAAACTAACAGAAGACAGGCTATTCTTATCAGTAGTTTTTCGAGTAAAGATAACCGGTTGCGTATATAACTGTATAAATCGTATGTAAAATGGTCTAACTTGTGGTAGGTTTAAAAGTTAATTTAAATACTTTGGTGTCCAAAGATGTTTTGAAATATATACTGTGATGTAGCTAAGATCCAAAGCTTTCCATTGGTGTAATCAATTTTGAAATCGGACATTAGATCACAACAAACTAAGCGGTTTAAAGACAGCTTAATTTGTATTGTTTAGCATTAGAGATAGCCATTTTACTCGAAGGTAAGGAAAACAACTTGTATTTTTTCACTTGATATACCTCGGTTATTTATGTAGTTCATATGGAAACTGTTAATTGGTGTATTCTAAGAACTTAATGGAAGCCCTGTGGCAACCTGCTGGAAGGTGATTAGTCTTTGCCACCAATATATAGCCAGGCCAGCCTGTACATCTTTGCAGTCTGACCAGGCTCTATACTCTGGCTATCTCAATTTCTGTAATTTGATGCTGACATTCTTTAAAGGCCTATTATGCCTCAGAAATGCTTTTATCTTTATTATTCAAAATCTTTTTAGTTTTGATCTCCTGTTATAGTTTTGAAAAGTTACTCATTGGCCATATATATTAAAACCATTTTTGCTTCTATTGCTTTTTGGCATTTAGTAGAGGCATAGCGGTTTAGTATGTCAAATTACTAGTTGTTTTTTTTTACATTTCCATATTTTCATAACAAATTACATCACATTCAGTTTTTAATTACTTTCTCCAAGTGATAATCATCTTATATGCTCTGAAACCATTATTTACACATTATGAAACTCATGTTTGCCCTATCTAAAAAAGGAAAAAAATACATTCGTTTCCGAGGCATAATGTGCCATTAAAACTTTGAACGGACTGTTCCAAACTCAAAAGAAAGGTAAATCTTTTTTACAAATTCAGCAGGTTTATGTATAATATGAAATGCTGAATTGTTTAATTTACAAATGATGATGACAAAAAAAATAGTAAATTATACAGCATATGAACCTTCAGTTACACTTCTCTAACAGCTTGATGGATTACATTATCAGTATTAAATACAATATTTATTTAATAAATATCAACTTTTTAAGTATATTTTACAAGATCTATTTTAAGATACTGAGAAGTAAAACCTTAAATATAAAAACAACTTTATGTGACAATATCTAAAAGTAATAAAGTAAACTGAATACTTTAATATGCTCTTTTACATGTATTACTTTTACATCTCTCAATGTAATACATTCTTGTATAAAACTCTTATTTTATATTTGATAAATAACTTGAAATACTTGAAAAAAAGTTGCTATTTTTTATCTCTGAAAGGAAAAATTTGATATCTAAACACGATTATTTAAAAAATATTTCAAATTCTTTGTCCATCTTAAAAAAGAACAAAGCATTATCATTGGCAAGCACATTTACTACAATATAAAACTAAATGCATAAAAGTATCCGACCAACATTACTCTAAAAGCAATAAATAAATTAATAATAATATTTTCAGTTTTTCATCACAATACTGGCATCATTCCGCGAACAGGAAGTTCATGGCTCGGTTAGCGTCACAGTCTGCCGCTAGTGCAGCACGCACGAGTGCGTCGTGCGATATCGTATCACCAACAATGTCTTGCAAGGTTTCTACACAGTCCTGTAGCTGACTCGAATCTGGTGACGGGAACATTTCATCTGAAGAACTGGACGTGACTCCTGAATCAAGCTTATAACAGAAAAAAATATATATACACTTAAAACAATCACACATTGACAGATATGGGATATACAAAATACTGAAAAATTCAATACATTACTTATCAAAATAACTTTTTCCTTCCAATAAAAGTAATGATAAAAAAATGTAGAAATGTGTCCAAACAGGGCGGAAAATAGAAAACTTTCAATGTATTATAATTACTCATGAGATTAAATAAAATCTTCACTTGGATAGTTCAAAATCATAAAAAGAACTTGAGTTATCACAATCTTAACAGTTAAGGTGAACACAATAAACTAAAGTCTCTTTCATATCAAAATCATTAATAGCTTTCTTTCATAAAAGTATCCAACCAACATTACTCTAAAAGCAATAAATAATAAATATTTTAAATGGACTTGTCCATCTTTCAATCTGGACAAAATCATTCATCATTTTTAGGGGGGAAAATTTTAAAATAATAAGGGGAAAAATTTAAAATAAATAAGTACAAACTGAATATCAAACAGTTCAAACTATGATTAGACAGTATGGATGTGCCAGCTGATCTTGGTCTGCACTGGTTGCATGGGAACATTCAGTTGCCACCAGCAGGCTAAGGCTTAAAAGATGCATTTATGAATGGTAGGTCAAACAGTCATATGTTATACATGTACTTACATTCATTCTGTCAAGGACTTCCTCCATTTCTGACACGCTGGACACAGAACTTGGAGTATCTATACTGGAATGCACCGGGCCATCTAAACTGTAAAACATATTTTATATAACCTATAAAACACTCTATGCCAACATAAAATATTCAAGAATAATATTAATAGGCTCTGTCTGCCAGGATTTATAGACCTTGACAATGGTTCGAGTACTAGGGACAACACACTGTGTTTTATGACAATATATTTTTGTTAAATCATTTACCCTTTATATTAATTTGTGTATGAATTTGACACAGTTTAGTGCTAATTTAGGGTAGTTTGATATCTAAATTCTGAAATTGAGTCATGAACATTATAGTCTAAAATATCTTCCTTTACTTTTTAATATAACAAGAATAGTGAATTGTACACTGATTTTCTTGTACTTCTCCCAATTTTATTTTTTTATTATTTTTTTTTGTGATTGAGTGTTGTGTTGCACCAAAAACAGTATAGGTCATTTGGCGACCTTTTTCCAGCTTTACTGGTGGAGAGAGACCTTAACCATGCATTATGTCAGGCAGGAATGGACACCTGAGTAAAATCATTGACTTTTCTTGAGCTAGCTGGATAGCTTCCTCATTTGAAAGAACCCAAAGTCACATCACTGTTGGGATTCAAACCCAAAGCGGTGAGGGGAAGTAAAATAAAACTATTTTACAATTTTGCAGGGAAGTCTTTCATAGAACTTGATCATATAGCATGTTAGTGCAGACAAGATTTTATCAAAGCAGCTCTTCCAAAATAAATATCACTGCTGTTACAGAAAGAATCAACAAGTCTAGAATTTCTAAAACACAACAAGTCTAGAATTTCTAAAACAAAGTAAAAGTATCCTGAGAGACTGACTGTGTGTACATGTTTGTCAGACTTAGATTCAATTTTCATTGGTCAAAGTCCTCATTGTAGGGTATTATGGCACAGTTTCAAAATTTATACTTATCTCACAAAAATTGTGTATTAGTTAAGTAGCTCAGCCAGTTGAACTGCGGAACAAAAATCCAAACAGTCCTGGTCCTGAGTACATGGTAGGCTAAAGATTGTTCTCACTTTGACTTTGTGGCAAGGGAAAAGATTAATAAATTTGGTCTCATTTACCTAGATAACGTTAGAGCTTCCACCTCCATCTGTAAATGATCAGGTAGATCTTGGAACACTTCACTGTTTGCTAACGATGGCCGCTCACTTACATAACACATACAACTTTCCTGATTTAAACAAATATTTGAGAAAGATATAGAAATTTTCTAGCAAGGCTTGTTTGTAACTGGTCAAAAGCCAAATATAAAGATTTAATTATTTTAAATAAAAGCAATCCTGTCACATTTAATGTTTCTCATCTTTTCTAAGGTGTATGGTTAAACCCAGAACAGCTCACAGTTAACAAAAGATTGACCCTAAAAAAAATTGTCTTGTGAAAATCATTTTACATACATGCATTAAATAATTTTAAAGTTTTGTACAACCTCTAATAAAAAGGATTGTTACCAATTCTAATTCATGAATGGTCGGAAAAAAATTGCATAGTTTATATTCTTTCAATGCAACCAGGGTTATGGATAAAAACTAGAAATGTGTCCATAGGACACGGATGCCCCCACACGCCACTGTTCTGTCAATCTTATGACTCTAGGTCAAATATTTTTTGGACTACATGTGCCACAAGTTGAAAACTAAAAATCAACAAAGGGCCATAATTCTGTTAAATTTGGTCGCAGCAAAAATTCCTTCCTTTACTACCATCTACACATTAAGGTTGTTCATCCCTGGAAGTTTAAGCAAAATCTGCCATCCGGTTTAAGAGGAGTTGCATTCACAAAATTTCTACAGAGTATATAGTGAAAAAATCAACAAAGGGCCATAATTCTGTTAAATTTGGTTGCAGCAAAAATTCCTTCCTTTACTACCATCTACACATTAAGGTTGTTCATCCCTGGAAGTTTAAGCAAAATCTGCTATCCGGTTTAAGAGGAGTTGCGTTCACAAAATTTCTACATAGTATATAGTGAAAAAATCAACAAAGGGCCATAATTCTGTTAAATTTGGTCGCAGCAAAAATTCCTTCCTTTACTACCATCTACACATTAAGGTTGTTCATCCCTGGAAGTTTAAGCAAAATCTGCCATCCGGTTTAAGACGAGTTGCGTTCACAAAATTTCTACATAGTATATAGTGAAAAAATCAACAAAGGGCCATAATTCTGTTAAATTTGGTCGCAGCAAAAATTCCTTCCTTTACTACCATCTACACATTAAGGTTGTTCATCCCTGGAAGTTTAAGCAAAATCTGCCATCCGGTTTAAGAGGAGTTGCGTTCACAAAATTTCTACATAGTATATAGTGAAAAAATCAACAAAGGGCCATAATTCTGTTAAATTTGGTCGCAGCAAAAATTCCTTCCTTTACTACCATCTACACATTAAGGTTGTTCATCCCTGGAAGTTTAAGCAAAATCTGCCATCCGGTTTAAGAGGAGTTGCGTTCACAAGATTTCGGGACAGACGTACGGACGGACGGACACTCGGACGGACAAGTGCAACGCTATATGCTCCCACTCTGTGGGGGCATAAAAACCTAAGTTTCCTTGAGTATTATACATACCTTGAGTATTTTAGCATTAAGTTGATCAGCTAGACTAAGCAGATAGAAGATGGTATCATCATCAATGTGGTGTTTTAACGAATGCTCACATCGTGAACGTAAACTTACAGTCTGTAAATATTACATTATCATAAAGAAAACATTACATTATCATACATAATTAGTGGTGTTCATGAAATAACTCACAGCTACTGTATTTACATGTTAAAGTCATTAAGCTGTTAGACCTTTTGACATCACTGGATATGAGTAATTGTAATCATTTTAACCAAATTATACCACTTCTTTTTTAAAATAGGTACTATAAAGCACTGTGACTAACATTTTTTTCCATATTTTATTTTTCATTTTTCTATATTTCTCTTATACTTAAAAGGGACACTGACTTTTTTCTTCATGACAGGACTTAAAATATTTTTTCAAGAGAATTGTTCCATTTGATGTAGGTCGAGTGCAAAATTTTCAAAAACTCTGGGTTTTTTTATTGTGGAAAATGACCCAACACTGAAAAGCGTTTCAATGATTTTATGATTTCACTTCTTTTATGATAAGAACAATACATCAATAGTGCAGGAAATATAAGATTTAAGAAGCATTTTATTTTATGTTGCAATATACATCCTTCCAAAATATCCTATTTAACTTATATTGACTATAACTTACATCATATCTATCTGCTAAAGTCATCATATCAGCTAACTGTTCTGTAGCCAGATCATTCATTTCTAACTGACCGCTGTACAGATATTCCAAAAACATTTTGAACAACTCCGGATTTGTGTCATGGACTGTGATTTTTCTGCAATTCATTAAAGTATATAATTTGACAAAAAATCTTACATGACTCATGATTATTGTGTTCCAAGTTAATGAACAAGGTACTGGATATTCTAACATACAAATCAGATTTTTTTTTAGGAAGAAAACATTTTAAGGTATCAAAGGAGGAGCAAACAGTTAACTGATTCATAATATTTGGCATTATTCAATTTTAAAGCAACAATCATGCAGTATGTGTTATATGGAAACAGTCACACAGTATATATTGGATGAAAACTGTGCAGAATGTGTTATATGGATTCAATTACACATTAATTGGTGCATAGAAACAGACAATAATGTCTTTTATCACACACCCGTGCCGATTTTGCGACTCCGTAAAAATGGTATTGCACGGCCGTGCATATACATGTATTTTGATGTATTTTGATATGATGTCATTAGCTTTATACAAACATAGTGTAAAGAAACGCTAAATGTTAGCGTTATACTATAGGCACGTCAATGAAAAATGACTCTTATTTCACTTTAAACTGTCTTTATTTTGGGTATGTGATAAATAGAATATTAAATTTGTGTAAGTTCATTACTGAATTTATTGCACTTGTTGAATAAAATAATATTATTCTCGCCAGAGGCTCGCATAATATAATTTTATTCAACTCATGCAATAAGTTCAGTATTGAACTTACACTCATTCAATATCCTCTATATATGTAATCAGTCAAAGTACGGGTTGTATAGAAACATACAGTATGTTTTGTAAGGAATCAGTCAAGAACATGTTACATTGTATATGGAAACAGACATAGTATGCATTATATTGAAACCGTCTAGTAGTTTCAAAAGAAGAATATGGCCTGTTCTCCCTACTTAACATCTATGATGTCTGGCCTGAATCTGTCCTATTGTCAAAGGGATGCCATTATAGTTAAAATACAAAGGGTAAAGAAACAGTATTCCACTCCAATTAATCCTACAATTTATGGTATTTAAACACAATTAACATACAAGTGAAATGTAATCCTTTCAAAATTACATTTGTAAAGGTTATCTCAATTTTTTTAAATATCAGCTGGTACCCACCTGTCTATAGATTCTCTCATACCACTTAGGAGAGCACGTCGGAACCAGTCACATCTGGCTGCTATGACAACCCTATGAGCTGGTATCTCAAACTTCTCGACATCTCTGTCAGATTCTGTCCTCTCTACAGGTTGACCAGATGTATGATCTATCACAGTGTCTCCAATATCTGAAAATTAATCATTTGAGCCGCACCATGACAAAACCAACATAGTGCGTTTGCAACCAGCATGGATCCAGACCAGCCTGCGCATCTGCGCAGTCTGATCAGGATCCATGCTGTTCGCTTACCAACCCTATTACAAGTAGAGAAACTGATAGCGAACAGCATGGATCCTGATCAGACTGCGCAGATGCGCAGGCTGGTCTGGATCCATGCTGGTCGCAAACACACTATTTTGGTTTTTTTGTGACGCGGCTCATTTATAGATACTTTCTAAATTTATTGCTAAAACACACTAAAAATAGCATCATAATAGTTTGTTCTGGAACATTCTATTATCTATATGCAGTCTATTTATGTGTGTTTAATAACAGATATCTGGAAAAAAGTGATCCTTGGAAACATTAAAAACAGCAAAATTACATGAAAATTGCAGACTCAGTTTGATTGAGTCTGTACATGAGGGATAATGAAAAAGTGCAACATCCCTCACCCCACCTAGCACCGGCTTGAGTGGTACTCAATTCTCAACACTTAATAGTGCTGACATCAATGATCCCAAAGGACCAGAAAAATATAACAACACTATAGTGAAATACAGGGCAACTTTTTACGGCTGCCACACAACACTTGACACCTGCAAAGACATGCTATGTTACAACTCTTTCAAAAATCAACCATTAGATTAGCGAAACAACATATTTTTGCAATTAATAAATTCTATATGAATATTTCATTATATATATTTCTTTACATTCTGAATGTTTTACTATACAAACTGCAAAAGTGACTTAAAAGTGAATTATTCACTTTTAAGTCCATTTTGCAGTTTGTATAGCAATATATTGCAGAAATCACATTTCATCTAATTTGAAGCACAGGCAAAGTATAGTACAAATAAAAGGTATGAAATAACTTTACATGTATTTAAAAATCTACTACCTACCATGTGCTAAAATTATTTCAAAGATGAGATCTGTATTTTTGTTAGAATGTAAAAGTTTGAGAGCCTTCTGTGCCATCTTAGAGTCCCGAGCATCCGGCGGTATACATAAAGACTCCACTGAACTTAACTGTAATAAAATATACAAACAAATCTTGATCTAGTCTAGTAGCTTATTTATTTGTGATTGATGTTTAAAAGGTTATGTTGTGTTAACTAAATACTTATGGAAAAAGAAACCTAGAACAATCCAAGAATTACAGTCCTGGAACCATCCAAGAATTAAGGACCTGGAACAATGCAAGACTTACAGACCTGGAACCATGCAGGAATTTCAAACTTGGAACTGTCCAAGAATTACAAACTTGGAACCGTCCAAGAATTACAAACTTGGAACTGTCCAAGAATTACAAACTTGGAACCGTCCAAGAATTACAAACTTGGAACCGTCCAAGAATTACAAACTTGGAACCGTCCAAGAATTACAAACTTGGAACCGTCCAAGAAATACAGACATCTGATGTTATACACAAACTAAACTTAACTAAACTGAACTGTATTACAACCAAATTTTTATGAATTAAGTAATTAATTTTATGGGTATTTAAATGACAATATCACTATTAAAGTCATATTCAGGACTTTTCAGATAAACTTGTATTGAATGAAACATGAAAACAGACAAGAATTGGAGGTCTTTCAAAATACACAAAATGATTCCATTAAACTCAACTATTAACAAAGTAATGTTCCACAAATATAATTTGAATGAATTCTAGGTAACAATGGCAATGGTTACTTTACAACATGTGAATTCATTTGTGTCACAAGTAACTTATAGTATAGTACATAATTAATCTTTGAGAGAAATAAATTTATTGTTTAAATGATAACAAGTTCCTATTATAATATACAGACTATTAACTTACTTGAACATATCTTGTTTTCTGTTTACTTTGTGATGAATTATTTGAAGATTCTTTGGAACAACTAGGTTGGTCAGAGTTCTCTGCCCCTGTTTCAAGGAGACCAAGGGAGGTAATAGATGCGGTAAACTGTTCACGATGTACCATATCACATGCTTGTTTGATTAACGGCTGAACCATTTTTTTGTTATTTAAAGCTTTGCATATAGCCCATGACTGAAAAAAAAGACATTTTTAATATGATAAAACTCACTTTCTCTCTATATACATTTATACATAATGTGGCCAATCTTAGGAGTTTGAATAATTTTAAGATGTCAAGTACCAGAAAATGGATTTAACTCACTACAGTGTAAAAGCATTTCAATGTTAAAGATGATTCTGAAGGTTTACACAGATGAATTTATCCCTCTGAATATTTTTCTCTAAAACTATTATGATTAAGCTTTTAAAATAATCAAATTTTTGCCTCTATCAATGTAATGTAGGGAGCGGTATAAATTTCACGTCTCTCAATATAAGCAACTTTTATCTAAATCTATAAAAAAATTAATACCTTTGCAAAGAAACTGTCTGGAAGTTAGATATATTAAAACTTAAAAATGCATTACCTTATTAATAAAAAAAAAAACTTACAATTTTGGAAGTACCCAGTTTGAATATATATTTCCAATCCCTCCATGTCAATCTAACGTCAATATCTTCTATCAATTCACCTACTTTGGTCTGTGCAACTCTAACCTGATAATACACAACATTTGTCAATTATCATACTTCTTTTAATAATGTTTCCACCTCATTAAATAGGTGCTCAATACTCTTTTTAAGTTTTAAAAGTATGTTCAGTTTTTTCCTAATTTAACTGCACAATGATGACAATAAAGAAATTACCTAATGCTAGCCATTCCTTGATCAATTATTTATATCAAAGGCAGCTTAAGTTATTGTAGTGGTAAAGAGTAAGACAACTTGAAAAAGTCGAGTGAATTCAACATATCTTAACATCCTAAATATCCCAAAATGACTTGTCTATCTTTCAATCTTAACAAAACCATTTATCCATTTATAGCTAAAATTTCAAACTTACTGACTGGAAAATTTCAAAATATGTACTGACTGAATATCAAACAGTGCACTGGTGGCATGGGCGGAATCAGATGCAACCAGCAAAGCTTTTCAAACTAACATTAGACTAAGCAGGACAAATCCATCAAATTCAGAACTAAATGTAACATACCATATCTCCTAGCTGGTCTATTAATTTTGATATACATCTCACTTTCTCCGCTGTTGATACCATACAAAATGATTCTCTGAAATAATACAGTATCTCAGGTTAACTCTCAAATTAAAATGCAATAATGATGGGCATATTCTAACAAAAAATGAAATCTGACCTGCCTGTTAAGTCTGACAAGACTTTACACTACCAGCTTCATACTATGAGCTTTCTGCTTCTTAATAAGCTTTGGGTTTGAAGCAGTCCTCATAGTCTCATACATGTCATGATCATGATTTTTTTTCACATGGCATCAGTAGTAGTAAGTTATAGAAACATACAACTTGTGTGTGAAATAAATAAGATATCAAGGTTTCATCACAATCAAATTTACTGTCATCAGTAGTGGTAAGTTATCTAGTGCTTAAAGGCATATGCTACATTTTTTATGGACAAACACATTAGCAGAATCAAAACTGTATAATTTATTATAACATAACGTTTATTTATAACATGACAACATAAACACTTAAAACTAAATTGTTCAGAGCTAAATTTACAAGCAAACAGATATGCCAAGGCACTATGTAATGTTGGCAGCTAAATGTTTAGTGTTTTGTTAAAATCTAAGTATTCCTTACAGACTGTTTTTCAATCTAAAAACAGAACAACTTCATTTTATAAAATGTAGAATGATTAGAAGTAAACCAAACTATGTACTGCCACTAAGAAGACACACGACTAAACATTAACTTACTTTTTCTGCATAAAATGGAAGAATGTAGTGGTTGATCTTTCATTTAACTTCTTTAATTTCTTTAATTCACGTAAATGTAATGCCTGAAATATTCAAAAAGAACCAATTCTTGAAATTGTATTAAATATGACCTACAGTATTCCCAATTCTGTAAATAACAAAGCTGTAAAATTTCCTGAAATCTGACAGACTGATTGACCTTGAAGATCAAGGTCTTTTTTCCATTATACTAGATGAACCTCATGTCCAGATTTATGCTGTGTAAGAATGAAGGCTCAAACTTGATGAATAAATGTGTTATCACCAATGTTACAGCTGTCCAAAAACAGAGAGACAAGAGCAAAAGCAATATGCTCACAGATCTATAATTTTAGAGCATAAGAGAAACCATGCTTAAACTGATTCAAATGCAATGTAAAACTAATTAAAGATTAACATTTCATTTTTTTATTACATGTACTTACAGTTTTTAATGTTTTACCAAGGACATCTCCAACATTTCCTTTCTTTGATTTTTCAGGTTTTTCTTGTTTTTCATCCTCAGATCCACTAATGACTTTTTCTAGTGCAGATTTACTATCAGTGACATACGAGGTAAGAACATCTAGTGCCTCCTCAATCTGTAATACAACATTAACTGTATTTACTAAGTTTATATCATGTTAAAACATTCAAATAACTACAGTACAACCTGTGTGATAAATGACATAATGCTTCCAAATGCCATTTTTTTATTATTTACCATGGCATTATACATGTATGTTACTCTCCTTATGGAGCCATTTCTATCAATCCTAAAGCAATTCTGGTTTAAAAGACACCAAAGTCAGGCTTTTCTGAACAAGAATATCAGTAACAAAGAGAGACACCTCTTTGAAACAACTAAGAAACATTGCAAAACTACAAGGACAAGTGATTAAATTTGACCGTAACCAAATCAACTCAAACCCAAACAAGAGTATAAGAACGTAACGTTTGAGGCAAGCTTCCTATATATAGATTATCTTGGCCAATAAATGGAGGCCAAATGACAAACTGTAAATGTCACAGAAGAAAGGATTTACGCATTATATACTCCTTAAAATTATATCAGGGGAAGCATTAATCATAAATCTTTAAAATTAGCATATATACAAACAGCATATTTTTACCTCTGGTACAAGATAGGTGGCTACTTCTTGTCTCTCTTGAACACTTAGTGAAGATAACTGCGACTTACACACATCTAAAAACTGGTCCCACTGTTTCATAAACACTGGAATCCTGCAAAAGGCAGTAAATACTTCACTTCCATAAAAATTATAAACTAGTATAAACTTTTGTGTAACAAAGTTTTCAAAATATAAAAATGAAACTGAACTCCTAAAAATTTGCATTTTTCTGGAAGCTCTGCTCACTTATAATATAACATGATCAGTAGGGCAGACAAGTTATTATAAACTTTAACATGAAATATAAACAAGCTAGTCAATGGCAAAGTGACCAAGATATGCATAAAATCTGAACAAAAATGACAATGAGGTAAAATTTGAGATATTATTATTCATCAACAGATAGTTCTATGCATCAACCACAAAAGTCATACATTTTTTTTAAGAAACAACATTATTAGTATTTATAAGTATGTATAGATTTATCACTATGTGTTATTTTACCTAGATTTGGCATATTTTATTATATCATATCTTTCCTCTCTGGACAGTTCAGATTTTCTTCTTGAATACAAGTCACAGAGAATCAGTAACTTGGAGAAAGCTGCAATCACAAATACATAATTATAATTATTATCATTTTGGTACAAGAACATCTTAGTTATTAGAATCATATACATGTAACAATAGGACTCATTTTTAATTTTGGATTTCATGCATATTGCTTTTTACTTAATTGTCCAACTGTAAGGCAAGAAGCTGAATATACAAAGCTGTGTATGATCTGGGATTAAGTTACTATCAGACTAAAAGGCAAGAAGTTTATTAAGGACAAGCTAGCAAACTGGCTATAGTTTCATAAAGAATCTTAGGACTGATTTTAGTCGTAAGTGCAAAACTGCGTTTCAAGAAAAGTCCTAAGTACAATTTTAAGACTAAACTTAGGACTATTCCTATAGGTGCCTCAAGGCACTCCTAACTTTTGTCTTAAGTTATAAATACAAAAAACAAGTGCTGAAAAAACATTGCAGCGCTTGTTTTATTGTCTGATTTAAATATATACTTAAAAAGTGGAGGTCATAAGTAAAGATTAAGCTAATATAGATCTTATTACCCTGTGACTGATATGGCTTTGCCAGACATATTTACGCATATGTTTTAATAATCAAGATTCAGTAAATTTGTAAATTTACATAAAATGTAAACACACTTCACTAAACAGGTAAGGCAGTTAATGCATATATGAAATAAATGCATGACATAAAAAAGGAAGGATAACACATTATATATGACGTCATATTTATAAACCAAATGACGTAAGATAAAATAATTCTATGCTTAATAATGTTATATAGACACATTTTTATTGATTTCCTTTTTATTACCATGTTAGAATGGAAATAGATATTATCTTTTCTTACGTTACAGTAAAATAATGTAAGGTTAATCATTAATTGCTTTGTAATAAATCACTCAGGCCTACAGTATTGGTATTTATTATATTCCTGCAAGGTGCATTATATACTACACTAATTCACTCAGAATTAATATTTTTCCAATATATTAAGAGGATACTTTTTTCATTTGAGTAAAATACGGAATATTTTTCCAAGAAACATGTCTGCCTTATGTAATTATGGAATAATTTTGAAAGAAAGTCAAAGATTATTAGTATCCTTACAATTATAACATTTATGACATGAAGTTAGTTAATACATAAGAAATAATAATGTATATAAAATGTATTTTTATATTTTTACCAGTGTCTGCTTTATCATCTGTCATTTTACATAATTTCACAAGACGATGATAAGGCACAAGTGATTTTTTTATCTCCATTAGGAAGATTTTGTCTTAAGTAAAAAGTTAGGACTAATCCTTAGTACAAAAGTTAGGAGAGTTTCTTGAAACGCTCCTAAGTGCAATCTTATTCCAGTCCTAACTTTAGTCTTATGTTTTAGACTTATGATTCTTTATGAAACGCACCCCAGTCCAGCATTTCACTTAATGTAAGATTAGATGGCAATGAAATACAAGTAGAACAATGGATTTGTTATAGTAAGTAATGTGTTTCAATCCCAAATAAGCTAAACATGCCCCTACTCACCTACAGCCGCCTCCCTCAGACATTGTTTAACAACATAACACAGTTTGGCAGGATTTGACACAATATTTTTATCTGTTTGACTAGAGGTATCATCACTCGAGTTAGCACCACTAAACATTTCTATAATCTTATCAGCAGATGAGTGCATGTCTGTCACCAGGCTTGTTATCTCTGTAAGAACAATTGGTCAGTATGGTATAAAGGTACAAATTTTACAAGTGAATGTTTGATGTTGGTTTTAAATTATATTGACAATCTATTGATAACTGGATAGGTTTTTCTTACCTTCACAAATTGCAAGAAATGTTTATCAAGAATACATTGTGTTATAACTGAATGGACAGTCCACCTTATAACGTTTTTTTTTATCTGATAGGAATTTTTCCTTGAAACATTTCAAAAACTGTACTAACAATGTAGGCAAATTTTCAATGCAATTTTTATATAAAAAATTTATATATTAAAGATTGTTTTTCTTTGTATAGGTTATGCAATGAATAAAAGTTTGGTAGAAAAGTAGAGAATAGTTTAAAAGTTGCTATAATGTTTTCAGAAGTAAAATAAAACCATCAACAATCACAGATAGGTAATCTTACGCTGTTTAAGAGCTGTATTCTGTAGGAATGTATCACACAATCTCACAAAACCGCCCAGCTCGGGTATTTTTGACATTATTTTCACACATTTCTTTGCCGTCTCCTCTGACAGTCCACGTGGCAGGCACTCAGCATACAGGAAGTGTAGAGTAGACTGTAGAACATCCTCCGGTAAACCAGTCAACGGGGTCGGTGATCTGGACCAGTCTATTGCCGGTGTTGTCAAACAAAGAATTGCTGTGTGAACTTTGAACTGAATAATATAAAAGTGCTCTTATTAATATATTTACTTCTTATTTTGTTATGTTTAATGCCATTCTTACACAGTAAATGTTGTATTTCTACCTTTATCCATTAAGACATAAGTTCCCTTTATAGCACAATCCAGCACTTTTATAAAACCATGTACCTTTTTTTTCAGGTCCCAACTGGGTAACCCCATTTATTTTTAAATTGATTCATACATACAATATTACATCAACACATCAAAATAATTAATTTACTGATATTCAAATTTGATGTGAACAGTATAAAGCTATATATGTACATGTATATCTACTGCCTGTTTAAAGTTTTAAGCTTACTAACTTGTTTTTTTTTTACATGAAACAATTTAACATCCTTACCCGATTTATACCCACTATTTAAAGTGAAATACATGTACATCATTTGACAAAAGTAACTCATTACACAATATGTAAATGACAGTAGCAGTCGAGTTTTGTAAAGGACTGTGAATCACAAAAAGGTAAACAGTAAAATAAGGAGTAAAGGTATTTGCTTCAGGGAAGTACAAGATTCAACAGTATCTAATTATAGAATTATTTTGTACTGATCTTCTATGTAAACAGCTCCATGACACTAATGGTAAGCAATCAATTGAAAATTTCCCTTCATATTAATGTTTATAAACAGTGTTTCTTCAATATTGTTTCTAGCATATTATCCTTTATTACCAATATATCATACTGTTTTTTTTAATCTAATTTTTTATTCTTTTCCCAATTTTAACGCTTACCCTGCAAGAATTGAAAGTGATTAGTCTTTGCCAACAGGACATAACCAGGCCAGCCTGATCAGGCTCTTTACAGTTGCTAACTTTATTTTCATATCTAAATACTGAAATCACTTAAAATTCAAATGGACTGTTCCAAATTCAAAGCAGGGAAAATCCATTACACAAATTCAATAGGTTAATGATTAATGTGACCAACCTGTTTGCCTGTATCAGCTTTGATGACTAGATCCGAGAAGAACCCCTCCTCTAGAGCATCTAGGAACGAATACGGAACATCATCTTTTGGGTCAGGGGATGATACCTAAATATACACATATTTGCTATCATACATCTATATAGCAAAGGAAACTTGCAAAACAGAAAAACTGGAATATTTGCTTTAACTATCTGCAATATTTGCTTTACTGTTTTTCCACACAACCTTCAATGAATACCAAACTTTTCCTACCTCATGCTCTGGTATATAAAATGAAAGTTATACAACAACAACACTTTCAAACAATTTTCATTATGACCCAGTTACCAGGTAAATTCCTATGCAACTTGTTATTGGCAACCTGACTATATCTCCAATGCTATATTCAATAAAAAAGTATTACACCTCATTTAAATCTATCAGCTTTTTTTCAACAGTGGTGTCAACAAGCATATGATTAAAATTACACTAAGTTTAATAGTATTCACTTAAATAACTATAGGAGGATTGCCTAATCATAATGTACATTTACTTTAATTCATATTATACCTTTCACATTCTTCCTACATAACTGAAAATGTTTTACACAGTAACAGTTTAATCATTCCAAAAAGCTGCAAATGAAGAAGGGAAAAAACTCTCTAAACTCTCGAAAAGAACTTCTGTTGAGAATACACTTCATGCAAACATGCAAACCTTACTTCTACCTATGCAACCAGTGCAGACCAAGATCAGGTGGCACATAATATTTTTTCCCTAAAAATGAAAAATGGTTTTATCCTGATTGAACGATGGACGATTCCATAAATTGAGACATTTAATGTGGTAAGGGCTAAATAAAAAACTATGAAATTATCTCACTACCTTCTGGCATTGTAGCATACAACATCTCTCATATGTGAGTAACATCAGATCATCTGATATCTCAACCTGAAATGACAACAAAAAATGTAATGTCTTCAATAAACAAAATTCTACAATTGATCAAAGAATGACCCAAAACTACATGCTCGAGGTTTCAAGTGACTATCTTCAGTGGTTACTGAGAAAGAACGTTTCACACCCAAACTTTGATCAAGTGGTAGGAGTCAATATGCAGATTCCACAGTGACAATGACAATCGTATCTTCTCGGCCCTTCAAACTTCAGATAAGAACCTTGATTGTGATACAGAATCCACAGTACGATAGCCATGCCATTCTTTGAATAGTCCAGCTAAAATACTTATGGTTTTAATCATCACCCTCAGTGATATGAGTTTAATATATTTGTTCATTATTCAATTTATAAAAAGAAATTACACTGAATCAGTTAACCTAGAGAAAAAAGTTGTTCCTTGTTCATCACATAAAATAATCATATGAAACACTACCTTGAAATTTACTTCAAGTCCAGCATAGGTACCAATGAATTTAATTGCTCTCTGTCCATAGTGTTTGTCTGGAATAACCTAACAAATATAAAAAGAAAGGTATAACTAGACTAATCACCTTTAATATAAATAGAGCTCTAAATGACTTATATAAATTCTTTTTGTTTTCATGCTTAACATGTTATCAGTCATGCAACATAGAAAAAGGCAAGTCTAAACAACAGCTCATGCCATTTCTTTCTTTGAAATTACCTCTGTCAAGGTATATATGTAAGCATTCCTGACACATAAAATTAGGCTGTTTTTTTTTAACTAAATTTTCAATTTAAAGTAAATTATTAAATTATTTGATTTATTTTGACAATGATGAATCTTTTTTCTAAAAACACAACATATATTTAATTGCAATGACTTTCCTAAAAAGACCTAACATAACAACAGATTGAAATTTATAAAAATTATAAATAAAATGAAACAATCTGCAGCCCATTTCCACTCTTCTAATGGTCGTCTTATAATGATGGGGAAAAAATGCCCGTAGAAAATATTAATTTTCCACCTTATTATAATAATTAAACCCTTGAACAACAATAATCTTAAATATTCAACTATGATAATTTTTAATATGGAAAAGCTGCCCAGAAGAATTTTCAGTGTACCTCATATGTTTCACAATTGAAGAAGGGTAAAGGTTCCACATCATCTGCAACTTTCCATGCCACATCACCTCCTTCATCAAGAACAAACTCTGTCCTGATACAGTAAAAAAAATAAAAATAAATGAATGACAATTTTATTACTTAAAAGCTTCAAAGTCCATGTAAAAGTCTTCGGAAAGTGGCCAACAATTATGATCCTAAAGACATAAGTGATGTTTCATGTAAATACCATTAATTTTGGACATTAACCTAGCAAACAAAACTCAAACAGGAATTTTTCACCAAAGTTATAAAAGCTTATAATTCAGTCAAAATCCATGCCGGCCTTGGATAATAAACCACAAGTATGATCCCAGAGACAAAGGTCCTACATTTGTTGTGTTTCAAATTAATATTTTTAGTGGTTGTGAATATTCATCTTGCAAATGAAACTTTGAACAGGAAGTTTCTAAGTTCACAAAGTCCCATAATTCAGTAAAAATCTAAGCTAGGGTTTTGACCTTGAACACTGATCTCCAGTTCTAAGACATGTGTAAAGTTTCATGCAGTTCACTTCAGTGGTTGATGGGATATGAAGTTGCATGCAAAACTTTACCCAAAGACATTTAAAAGTAATCTTCATTAAGGTTTAATTTCTATTTGAAATAGAGGGGTAAATGTTCACTTATGAATCATTTCCAATATTGATTTTGCTGTGTGCCAACACAATTATGTTTCACCTTATTTGGTGTATACCTTGGTGTCTTGATTGTCTCTGTATCTGTTAGTTTCTTATCTGCTTTGTAATTTTATTGACTGTTTTGTTATGCATAGTTATAATAATAAAAAACAAATATGACATTGTATTTACTTGTAATAAAATCCCAACTTTGGCATCACATTGCATGTTTTCTCCAAATTAAACCAGTCTCTTTTCCAAAAATTAAAAATCACTGTTTCAGGAGTTTCAACTACAATTTAACCCTATGTTCAAATTTACTTCAGCATGAATCTTGTTTTAACACTATTAAATTTAAACACTATTTAATTTAAACATACAGCATTTATAAAATAGCAGTTTTCACTCTTTCACGTCAATCACGGACTTAAATTGAAATTAAAGTTTGTGGGTACTTAAGTATTTTAATAATTATAACTTGTAAATAACACAGAATTTACATCTGCTCATGAAAACAATTTCTGATAGCTCAATCCGATATCTTAAATGTCATAATATAAATAGCTGACCATCTTCTGTAAAAAATTATTTAGAAAAATATATATGTTCAGGGCGTTCACTAGCCATGAAATCTTGAACTCAAGGGTCATTTTGACTAAAGTTGTACTGACTACAAGGCCAAATCGCCATGGTTTTAACAAAATTTGACCCTCCAGTTAAAATCCTGAGGGTCAAATCAGGCCTTTTGGAAATTTGAAGGGTCAAAAAGTCATTTCAAGGGTCAAACAGACACCCTGTATGTTCATTAGTGATGGAAATCGGATGAAATTTGTCCCAATCGATAATCGGTTCAGTCGGATGGGACATAATCGATAACTTTTCGAATAAAGTCGCGTTAGAAAAAAATAGGGAAGTAACATTACTTACCAAGGCACGTGATTATATTTAGTAACATAAACTTCATTAAGCACTTTTCAACACAGTTTTAACCTTATGAAGTCATAATTTTACGAAATAGATTTTATTTTTCACGGGATGTCAAATAATACCATTCACATCACATTATATTACTATTGTTTACATAACTTATTGATCCTGTTCAACTCCAAATTGTCTCTGAGTGATTTTTTGCGATCGGCGAGGTATTCTTAAAAGAAAATTACCGTCAGAATTAATTCCCTTTGATACTTTGAACATTTTCGACGACGTCGCAGAACAAATTTTTGTGAATCGATTATTGTCGTTTTACATAACAGTAACTGATTATCGACGACTTGCGACAATCGGAACATCACTAATGTTCATTGATTCTTTGTGTGGAAATTTGAAGGGTCAAAAAGTCATTTCAAGGGTCAAACAGACACCTTGTATGTTCATTGATTCTTTGTGAAAATGTAATAAGACTTGCAAGCATTGCATTTATATATTATTGAAAAATGCCATACGGCTTGCATCAGTGTGTATAGGCTAGTTGTACATGACTCATGATTCTGCCCCAGAACGAAAATATCTCAGAATCAAGCTATAGCATGTCAATAATTTTTGACTATACAGACCCCTACAGCTATAGCCACTTCCCAAACAGAAAAGAGTGATACAAAATGAATGGATGTAGTCCATGTAGGAGGATGAAGAGATTATCTAATACAAGTAGCCTTCAGACCAAATTTGGTCATATATATGTACATGTAAGGTAATGACTCATTTCTTCATGCTGTTCAAATTATACACATCATGTCTATACATAGACTTGAGTTGATTCAACTTGCTATATGCCAAAATTCACTGTATAACGACCTGATTCTGATTCAGTTATACTTTCTTAACTATAATAAATATCAGTGTAAAATAAATCTCCTTTCAGAAAGCGATATGAGACAATAATCAGCTGGTTGTCTTTTTTGACAGATATCAAAACAAAGCAAAATCAGGAAGCTAACCCTTCAATCCCAGTCGTTTCAACTGTCCCTGCCAATGACACACATTCCACAATCTGTGAAAAGAAAGAAAACAATATTTATAGTTAATCTGACTCAAGTCACAAAATATCTCTGCATTTATAAGGGTAGAAAAATCAAAACATACCCTCCAAGTTCCAATGTATATTTCCTCTGCAGCCATTTTACTCATTAGCGCATGCGCAATTCTAATCGATCAAAAATAATACACAGTAATACTGTGAAAATCAGCGCAAAGTAAACTATGGAATGCCGGTAGGGACATGCCAATTTGCTTATTTGCCAATTGCTGAATTGCTTATTTGCTAATTGCCGATTTGCTTATTTGCCAATGGCTGATAGTCTTAACGACAAATTTGCTTATTTGCCAATTGCTGAATTGCTAATTTGCTTATTTGTTAACCGCTGGATTAGGTATTTGCTTATTTGCCAATTGCTAATTTGCTTTTTTGCAATAGAAATACTTTACACTGTGCCGGAAATATATGGAAAATCTGACTACAGACAACCAGTTGAGTCAGACCTGTTAACTTTTACCAACAGTATTCTTGTAAATTCAGTGTTTTTCCAAGATTACTGTTGATCAATGAATTTAGTTGCAGTGATGCCTACGCAGATATATGTCTACAACTGATGGCTGACATGTCCTTGAGAACACAGACGCTTGAGGGTCTGATCCCGTACCCCAACATGATACGTGCCCCTGTAAACACTCATTTTAAAATATTTTAATATTTAAACACGAATTGGACATCGTTAAAACTGGTTTTCAAGCAATTTTTACATATACCGGTATGAAAAAATACCATATACCACCAATTAAGTCTCAATAAAGTACTTAATGGTTTTATCGTTGTAACAAATGTCCAATTCGTATTTAATAAATATTAAAATAATTTTGATACAGTGTTTATAGACGCGTATCACGTTAGGGGCAGGATCTGACCCGCCAGCATCTGTGCTTGAGCATGCCTTATAATGTGTTGCAGCTATAGATCTGTTTGTGCAGCTTAAGTCAGAGATTGATGGCATAATAAACACTTGATTAGTCATATATAAGTGAAAATTATTGGGTAAAGATTGAAAATAAAAGAACTTGAAAACAAAACTATTTCTTATTTTATGGCATATAAAATGTCGTTATTCTCAGCAGATTTGTCGCAGAGGGCCTCCTTTTAGTGGTACGAACACATAGTATCACAAATGATACATTTGGCACATGCTTAACACGGGTGTTTGTCTTTGCACTTAAGCAATAGGCTGCGTTTTTAGCTCTGTAAGATTTTGAGATCACTTATGTCTGTTTGTACATCAACATTTTGCTTTCGTTCAATGTTTTTGAAATTTGGTCACACTTTTCCATTTCTTCATGTTGTACTTTTACATGCTATCAGGTGACCATGACCATGATCATGACCTAGGGTATAATGGACAAAGCCTTTTTGAATATTGTGTATTCATGCTGCCTATTTAATGCTTATGTGAAGTTACAGTTAGATATAAGCAAAAGTAACAGAGATATGACAGAAAAACAAAGGCTTCTCAGTACAATACATTGGTGACCTTGACATTCAGTATATAACGGGCACAGCTTCTTCATGTACATGTACTTTGTATGCATGCTTGTAACGCAAATGTTATGCAAAGTTGCAGTAAGATGCATGAATCAGCAAAAGTAACAGAGATATGACAGAAAAACAAGTTACCAAGAAAACCAATGCATTGGTGGGTAGAACAGCATCCCTATTCTCTGAATAGTGGAGCTAAAACTGAAACTCAAGATAATTAAAAAAACAACTAATTTCTGAAACTGAATTTATTTTTTTCGAAATTGATTAAAATGTATCCATCTGTCTTTCTACCTGTATACCTAGAATGATGGATTGATCATAATTGCCACAAGTTATAATTAACAAAACTTTATAAACATAATAACATGATATAGGTTCATGAGCTTGAAATAAAGTCTACAAAGACTTGTTATTTTATATCAAACAAGAACTTCGCGAGTCGGACGTGTCGCCTGACAATAGCATAAAAATTTATATATATAAGCAAATAAGCAATTAGCAAATAAGCAAATTGGCAAATCAGCAAATAAGCAAATTGGCAAATCAGCAATTAGCAAATAAGCAATTAAGTAGTTGACAAATAAGCAAAGTGGCATGTCCCTACCGGCATTCCATAGTAAACAAAAATAAAATTTAAAAAGAATCATGCCAGACGTCTTTTTTATTGAAGCTGTAAGTTTGAATATAGAAATCAACTCCAGTTTCAATTTAAAAATGTAATTTTTAATTGAAGCTGTGGAAGTTTTGTTTAAGTTCGAAAATATTATGAGATATTTTTGCATAAAAGGCACAATGAATGTTTATAAATTACATTTATTTAACAAATTAGAATTAATTACAGTATAATATATATTGAATACTGTACAGTATAGCATTATAATGAAAGTTTGTTTTACACTTCATTTTTTTAATGTTTTGAAAGATAATTTGCGGCAGAAACTTTTTTATCTTTGAGATGAGGTTTCAATAAAAATGTGATTATAAAAGGAATCGCTTGTGTTACAGATATAAAGATCTTAAATATAGTTCTGTGCTTGTATGCCAAAGTTAAAAAAGCAATATTTAAAAAAAAATATGTTGCCTGTTTCGTAAAGTGCCCTATCTCCACACAGATATATATATAATATGTAGCTCCATGATCTCCATGAGACTTTTATACTATATGAATTCGTCTCTTGAGCAAGTTTCTCTGCATGCACATGTCAAAAATGTGAGTTATGACGTCATTGATTAAAGTCCTCCGTACCATCTTTTATTTCTCCACTGTTTGTTTGGTTGGTTGGTTTTACGGTGCACCAACACAGTTAAGGTCATATTGTGCCGAAACAGGAAATACGATTTTTGTTAACCTGGGGTGTTACAAAGCAACACAGGCAAATTTATACCACCTCACCTGCCGAAGATAAGGGATGCACAGTCTCTAGGTATTCAAACCCATGTAGTCACCTCATACGAACATGCAAGGATAAACGGTGGCTGCAATTCTTATACCTTAACCATTAAAGGCAATCTCTCAGCCACATACATGGGCCTCCACTGTTAGAGCACACTTATAATAATAAAATGCCTTAATATCTACATAATTTAGAGCATTTTAGAGGTTAACGTAAGAAATTTATATAATTCCTGCGAATTATTTTCTAAATTATATTACATGATTGCTGCGTGTACATTACGAAATGCTCTAAACCTCTTTGAAGTGCCAAGAGTCCTCATATATAGTCCTTTGAAACAGTGCAGATGGAGTGCAGTAGGTGTTTGGTTACAAAATATTGAAAAAATGAAACACTTTTTCTCTATCTCAAAATAAAAAAAAGCCTCAGCAAACATGAAAAAACAAAGATGAAAAATAAAGGAAACAAAAGAAATTCATGTTCATGTAGATTTTTAAATCATTTTCGTCCATACTAATTAAAGTATTGTTACTTTTTTACAATTATGTCCAGAAGTAAATAAACTACCGGTTTCTGAAGTTTTGGGGCAAGGCTTAAAAACAAGCTTCTGTGATGTAACTCCTAAAAAACTGACTGTGCAATCAATAGAGGATATTGAATGAGTGTAAGTTCAATACTAAATTTATTGCACGAGTTGAATAAAATTATATTATGCGAGCCTCTGGCGAGCATAATATTATTTTATTCAACGAGTGCAATAAATTTAGTAATGAACTTATACGAATTTAATATTCTATTTATCACATACCAAAAATAATGACCGTTTAAAGTGAAATAAGAGTCTTTTTTCATTGACGCGCCTATAGTATAACGCTAACATTTAGCGCGTCTTTACACTATGTTTGTATAACGCTTATGACGTCGCGTCAAAATATATGCACGGCCGTGCAATACCATATTTACGGAGTCGCAAAATCGGCACGGGTGTGTGATAAAGTGTATTATTACACGATACATGCAGAACATAAAAAGGGATGCTTTGAACACGTTATGACATCAGGTATCAATCATAACATTCAATATGACGTTAATAAACCAAATGATGTCAGAAAAATTTCTTCCGAGATCAATGTAGTTCAATATCAGTTAGATTTTATAAGCATGCAGAATGTAAAAAGATATTATTTTTTCTTGCATTAAATTATGTAGTAAAATGAATCACGATTAATGGTTCAATTTATCACTCATTACTATTGGCCTTCGTAATTATATACAGGACTACTCATTTGAATTCAAAACATGCATTAGATATTTTACAATGCACTAAAAATTTACTAAGAATTGATAGATGGATGGATGGATGGATGGATGGATGGATGGATGGATGGACGGACGGACGGACGGACGGACGGAAGTTCTCACAGGACAGTAATTATGTGACTACTCTATTGTTCTCTCTATTGTTCTTTTTAGCCACGCAAAAGAAAACAGCCACATAAAAGCATTACGGAATGAATGATATCAAAGAGAAAGAATAGTTACCTATTGTCCCTCTAGCCACATAATTACTCTCCTGTGAGTGCGGACGGACGAATGGATGGATGGATGGATGGACGGACGGACGGTTTGATTAAATAGACGAATGAATAAATGAATGAATAAAAAAAGAGGTTTACCTGAAATTCTAAAAATATTCATTCAATGAATGAATGAATGAATAAATAACTTAATTAACAGTAGATCCCTTTAATCAACCAAACATGTAAATCATGTTACTAGATCAATAACAGTGTACTAATATGGTATTTCCGCACATGAAAGTCCTTTTTGCTCCAAAGGCATACTCCATTGGACCATTACGCATCATTTATTTACTTTTTGGTGCTTAGCTGATTTCAAGCGTCTAAGATTGTACTTGATCCAAAATGGCAGCCTCCATGTTCAGAAAAGGTTGGCTGATTCCTTTAACATCATTTAATTCATGTCCTTATGTTCTTTGCAAATTTAAAATCACTGTAATGCTTACATTTTATTTAAAGTGCATATATTGGAAAACATTCTACAACTGATAATCATTGTACACTATTGAACCAATGTCCATCATTTTGATTTTTTTTAAGATTGTCCTTGCCCTTGGCTTGGAAGTTGGAACATGGATATAATATTTATTTATACTTAATTAATCATTATTCTTAATTGTGTCAAAAATAAATACCTGTAGAAATAATTGCATCCATTAAAAAAGTCTGCACAAAGACTTAGCAAAGGATTTGTTGCCAAAATTAATACTGGACATGGAAGTCAAAGGCCGGAAATGCGAAGCAGGCCTGGGCTTTGCCTTGCCTGGCTATGGACTAAACGTGTATATAAAAAAATATATAGAATTATAGAATTCTAAACCTCTCAAATAACACTTGTTGATGAAATTTTCAGTGTCATTTCCATTTGAGCGTTGCCTTTTTAATGTAACTCAATGATAATAGGCGGGGTGTTCCGTTAACGGAACAATTGCAACTTTTTGGATTTATAATAATTGTCAAGTGAAAATGGAAGTGGTGTGTGAAATACCGAATAAAAACAGAAATATGAATGATTTCGGTCGAACCCACTTGCTGTGTCACAGCTCAACTTAATACACCAATAAACACTTTCCTCAACTAGCAGACGACAGGCTATTCTTATCAGTAGGTTTTCGAGTAAAGATAACCGGTTGCATATCTCACTGTATAAATCGTATGTAAAATGGTCTGACATATGGGAGGTTTAACAGTTAATTTAAATACTTTTGTGACAAAAGATATCTCAAATTATATACTGTGACAAAGCTAAGATCCCAAGCTTTCCATTGATGTAATAATTTTTAAAATCGGACATTTAATCACAACAAACTAGCGGTTTAAAAATGGCCTAATTTGTATTGTTTTAGCATAAGAGATATCAATTTTACTCGAAGATAAGGGAAACAACTCGTATGTTTTCACTCGATATACCTCGATTATTTACGTGGTTCATATGAAAAGTGTTTATGCGTGTATTGCCACTTTTGGCGTATTTTTCAGTGTGTGGGCATCAGTCCGTCCATGCGTCCAGATTTGTCATGTCTATATTTTGCTCTTCTTTGATTGATTACAAAATAATTTGGTAGAAACTTTCACCATGATCATCAGATGTGGTGGTATGTCACACACAAAACCCGCCATACAAAAGTCTCACTTGTGGGTCAGAGCAAAACCTGTGTCCATAGCGTATCTTCCACATGCATGGAGGGATTTTGATATAACTGGGGACAAAGGTTCTGTATAATGAGTGTCGCATGAAAAGTTCAGGTGTCTGTGGTAAAGGTCAATGTCACACTTAGGGTCAAAGGTCAACTAACAAAGTAAAACATTCATTTGCAAGTATAACTCCTTTATAGATAGAAGATTTTAATTTAACTTAGCAGAAATGTCCTCCATGTTGAGTTGAATTGTATCATGCAAAATGAAGATCAAGGTCACAAGAGGTCAAAGGGCAAATAAAAATATAAAAATTTGTTGGCACTGTATCTTGCTTATGCTTTGAAGTATTATGCTTAGTGGTCTTACTCTTAGGCTTTTTGCATTTCCCGAAGGGTGAGCATATAGTCGCCGCTTTGTCCATTGAACTTTGTCCGGGCCATAACTGTAAATTTAAAACTATAAGAGATATCAACATGAAAGTTTGTAGGAAGAAAGATCTTGTTGAGCAGAAGTGCATTGCAAAAGAACCATAACTCTGCCTTGCCTAAATTTGGAGTTATTGCCCTTTGTTAATTTTTCACTTTGAACTTTGTCAGGGATCTAACTTTAAAATTATAAGAGATATCAACATGAAATCAGCGTTTTTTTTCTCTACTTTGGGAATGGTGCCGGTACCAAACTGATTGAGAAAAAATGCGTTATTTTGACTGAAATTGGGAATTTTTATTTAATACAGCATCTTTTCAACTACAAATAAGATTAGTAATAATGAATAAAGACAGCTTACAGCTTCCACTGTCCAGGTAGAACTATTGAGTGTTGATTTATATAAACAGTTACATGTTTGATTTTAAATGATTTAAAAGAAATCTCATGGCCTTGTGGGAATTTTGAACAGTATTTTTGGGAATTTTCATGTCTTTTTTCCATTGGGAACAGTACCTTTTTCGGGTAGTAGTTATATAAAGAAAAAAAAACACTGCGGAAACTTTGTAGGAAACTCTTAGTCTCTGTCTTGCCTAAGTTTGGTATTATTGCACTTTTGAACACTGGGTCAGGGGTTATTGTCACCTAAGATTATGCAATGTCAAGATTTGTATCTTGGGTATAGAGAGGATGTGTTGCGCATATCTCACCTATATGTGTATACATCTTTCTCCTTGATCTGAAGCTTATAGGTTCAGGTTTGAATTAAGACGAGCAGACTCAACATTCTGCCCGTTGACACGCTTGTTTTCACTTACTTCCCCGTTCATAAGCTTTGCCTAATTTCATATTATATCAATAATTATACTATAATTTTGAAGTGGCAAGCTATCCACTGCTTCTGTTCACTGTATGGTGAGCAACTTCCTAAAATGCTAATTATTTAGGCCTTTATGCATGAAATGTTAGTGTTATTAAAGGAAATTTTATCAGTCAAGAACTCCAATGCTTTCAAAATCTTGAGTTTTGAGCTGAGCAGTGGAAAGGATAGTGAAGGTGTAAGCCTCCCAATCAGGGATAGTTGGTTCAACCCCTACTGGGATGAAGACCATGTAATTGATTTATTCTAAGAAAATGTGATTCAATTAAGCTATATGCTTTCTTCATATACAAGCTTAAATAAATGGTTTTAACAGTTTATTAAATAAATACATCAAGTGCCCCTCAAAACAGTGTTTTGAGCAAGCACCTGAATAACATTCAGTGATTAATTGCTAGTAATAAAACTCAATTTTACAGCATATTGACATGCTTTTTTCCCCCAGGTTTATGTAGAGCTCGCAGTCTGTGTATGGTTCAGCATGAGTTAGAGTCAGCATTTACACTACAGAGACAACAATGTCGTTTAAAAAATACTGCAACAAATATGAAACCAAAAGCATCAAGAAAGAAAATTGCATCTAAGTAAGTATTTCTTATAATTCTACGTATAAGAATTTTATTTATAAGAATGAAAGCAACAATAACATCTGTAAAGACAAAAGAATTGCTTAATATAATTTTTTTTAAAACGCACATTAGTTTATGTTTAATAAGTCTGGATACATTTTTTTTTTGTTTAATTGACAGAAAGAAAGTAGATGGTGAACCAGTCAAAAAATTCACCAGTCTGACACCTAAATACAGTATCTATATAACAGATGAATACCCACCACAGAAGTTCTCCTTTGAAAAATGTATTGAGATGCACAAAGAGGCTGCTGCGCCAGAAATGACCAATACTCTACATGCACAAGTATATGCTGATATTGAACTGGACTGTACAACAAATAAAAAGGTTACTTTCATGATTTCTACATTCGTTTGGTTGGACAGAGGAATTCAAATTCTTCCTTGAACACTTGAGTACATTTTTTTTTAGTTTGAAATTAAACATTTTAATAAATACCGTAGTTGATGAAAAAAGTAAATACTTTATATGTATTCTAAGTCATGTAAGAGGTTGCCATGGTTTATGATGGCATTTCACAAAGCAGGGTATTAACTGCGTCTCCATCTATTTAAATTACAAATTTTGCTCAATGTCTGTTTAAATAGGTGGTAGATGAATCAAAAGTTGCTCTCACTAGTCACTAGTGTGATTTTTAAAACATACCAGCCTTACCTTGGACTAGGTAGATTCTTTCATGTGAGGTAGCTATCCAGGAAGTGTACTGTTGGCCAGTTGTTCTACTCAAGTACAGTAGGTTGGTGGTTCAACTTAAGTACAGTGGTTCAACTAAGTACAGTAGGTTGGTTGTTCTATTCTGGAACAGTAGACTGGTTATACTTCTCAAGTACAGTGGATTGCTTGTTTTACTCTAGGTAAACAAGTAGGTCGATTGTTCCAATCATGTACTGTAAGCAGATCAATCTACTTTGGTACAGTAAGCCAATTGATTGTTCTATTCAAGTACATTACACCAGTGGTTCTGCCTTTGTACAGTACAATGTAGGTCGTAGTTCTACTACAGAACAGTAAGCCGGTAGTTCAATTCAAGTACAGTACACCAGTGGTTCTGCCTTTGTACAGTAGGCCGTGGTTCTACTATAGAACAGTAAGCCTGTAGTTCAATTCAAGTACAGTACACCAGTGGTTCTGCTTTTGTACAGTAGGCCGTGGTTCTAATAAAGAACAGAAAGCTGGTAGTTCAATTCAAGTACAGTAGGCCGGTGGTTCTACTTTTGTACAGTAGGTCGGAGGTTCTGCTCAAGTACAGTAGGCCGGTGGTTCTACTTTGTACAGTAGGTCGGAGGTTCTGCTAAAGTATACAGTAGGCCGGTGGTTCTACTTTTGTACAGTAGGTAGGAGGTTCTGCTCAAGTACAGTAGGCCAGTGGTTCTACTTTTGTACAGTAGGTCGGAGGCTCTGCTCAAGTACAGTAGGCCGATAGTTCTACTTTTGTACAGTAGGTCGGAGGTTCTGCTCAAGTACAGTAGGCCGGTGGTTCCACTTTTGTACAGTAGGTCGGAGGTTCTGCTCAAGTACAGTAGGCCGGTGGTTTTACTTTTGTACAGTAGGTAGGAGGTTCTGCTCAAGTACAGTAGGCCAGTGGTTCTACTTTTGTACAGTAGGTCGGAGGCTCTGCTCAAGTACAGTAGGCCGATAGTTCTACTTTTGTACAGTAGGTAGGAGGTTCTGCTCAAGTACAGTAGGCCGGTGGTTCTACTTTTGTACCGTAGGTCGGAGGTTCTGCTCAAGTACAGTAGGCCGGTGGTTCTACTTTTGTACAGTAGGTCGGAGGTTCTGCTCAAGTACAGTAGGCTGGTGGTTCTACTTTTGTACAGAAGTCAGGTTCTGCTCAAGTACAGTAGGGCCGGTGGTTCTACTTTTGTACAGTAGGTCGGAGGTTCTGCTCAAGTACAGTAGGCCAGTGGTTCTACTTTTGTACAGTAGGTCGAGGCTCTGCTCAAGTACAGTAGGCCAGTGGTTCTACTTTTGTACAGTAGGTCGGAGGTTCTTGCTCAAGTACAGTAGGCCAGTGGTTCTACTTTTGTACAGTAGGTCAGAGATTCTTGCTTAAGTACAGTAGGCCGGTGGTTCTACTTTTGTACAGTAGGTCGGAGATTCTGCTCAAGTACAGTAGGTCAATGGATCTACTCAAGTAGGCTGGTAGTTCTACTATATACAGAATATAGGCCAAAACACCATTTTTGGGGATGGGACCACAGCTTTAATCTCATGGATTTTTGCTTATTTAGGGAAAGAGAAGGTCATTATTGTCCCTTTGGTAAAATAATCATGGTAATTTTGTATTTGATAAAAGTTTTTGTCCATATTTGCTATTTTCTAAAACAAGTTTGCTCACATTAATTTGTGTTATATGTGCTAATATATATTTCTTTCTGTTTACAGACTAAGTTCATGAAGAATATAAGAGGACTATTAGAATTCCCGCATAAATTTGAACACAAGCAGAAGAAAGACATATTCATATTTAGTGAGGTAAAATATACTGGTAGAATATCAAGCATATGATGTGTTAGTATGACAGCCAGTCAGTCTGTCCTATTTTTAGCAACATTTGTCTTGGTTATGTTCAATAAGCTCTTACAATTTTGCAAGATGACTCATTCCAAGTCAATATTCTTTTTCTTTTTACCCTGTTTTATAGCTTGACTTTTAAAGAAATGTGGGCTTTCCTACCCACCCATCGCTGGCATAACACTTTGGTTAAAGTCTTCAGGCACTGATTTGATATGTACTACTAAGGATATGTATAGATGGTCATATTCCAAGGCCCTTAACTCTTGGTTGGATGTTACCAGAATTATTGCCCTTTGTTAACTTAAAAAAATTAATTAATTTGCATGCAACATCAATTTTAAAAACTACTGAAAACATTCATTGAAACATTTTGTTTATTTTATTATATCACAGAATCCAACAGACTGGGAGCAGTGTAAAGAATTAGGTGCTACTACAGTAGGAGGAGATGAATTGATAGGCTATGTAAGTAATATAAAATATGTTGGTTTTTGTTGTTTTTTTTTTTTTTTTTTTTTTTAATTTAAGGAACTCTGTTATGTTTTTCATTATTTGAACTTAACAGGTTTGTCTAATTGAAGGTCTTTTAAATTTTATTTTGCAAAGGTTTATAATATGGACGAATCTAGATTCCCAATTAAAATGTTTGTGTAGTGAAGTATATTTGTTTTACACATTTGAGCCGTGTCACGGCAAAACCAACATAGTGCGTTTGCGACCAGCATCATGCATGGATCCTGATCAGACTGCGGGGATGTGCAGGCTGATCAGGCATCCGCGCAGTCTGATCAGGATCCATGCTGTTCGCTTACCAACTCTATTACAATTAGAGAAACTGATAGCGAACAGCATGGATCCTGATCAGACTGCGGGGATGCCAAATAGTCATTTAGATAATTTGTAATCGAATTCATGATTGTGTTCTATACCATTTCAGACTACAGTGTAGCTTTCCGAATTCCGGAACTTCTGAAATCCGAACATTTTTCAAGGTCCCAAAATTTATCCTTCAGTTTTCTATGTAATTGATACCTCTGAATTACGGAACTTCTAAATTCTGACTTCAGAATCATTTTCAGATAAAATTTGGGTTTTTTTAAATTTAGATTTACTTTCACAATCCGGAAATTGAGAAAAGTGTAAAGGAATATTATACTTTTGTTTGTAAAACATTCAAAATGTTCCAATTAGCAGTAACCATTTATCTTGACACCTATAAGAATCACAACCTGTCAAGCACTTGATTAAAGAGTGAAAATTATGGGAAGAAAATGAAAAGATTACAGGTAAAAAGCAGGAACTACATGAAATATACTATAGGATAAATTGGGGTTTATCGTGATAATTTATAATTAACATTATGCTATTGTATCAACATATCCAGTTATAGGTGATAATGAAATTGAAAATAGTAATTAACTTTTTTTAAAAGTCCTATAATTCTGCATTTTTATGAATTTAATTTGCTTCATATATTTATCATCATGTCTTACTTAAACAATTGATGTTAAATGTTTCTTCTTGTTCAGATAATTCCGATTTTCTGATTTCCGGAAACTTCCAAATTCAGAATTATTTGGCTAGTCCCACAGGTGTTCTGTTTTCAGAAGTTACACTGTAGTTGCAAAGAGTGTCTTTTTATAGGCACATTTTCTGATAGTTCTTAGAATAAAAATGAAGATTGTTTCATGGGTACATTTAAATTATGGTTCTGAGAATAAAACTGAAGATTGTAGAGTACAAAAAAAGTAAGAAGTAATGATGAAAACTGAATATTATTGTTGTATTTTCAGTTAAACCAGGGTCTTCTACGTCCGGATGATATTGAAAAATGTGACTTTCTTTTTGCCACACCAGCCATGGCACTTAAACTTTTAAAAATGAGGAGTATATTGATGGATAAAACGCCAACTTTACAAAATGGTTAGTGAACTTCCCTGTTAATCTACGCATATATGAATTACTATGACTTTGTTAAAAAAACAACGTAATGTCACAATGTATATTTCTCGCCATCTTTGACATTGACGTCGTGTGACGTCACTTCCTGTTTATTCACTGACGAAGAACATACTAGTCCGAAATCGATATGAATAATAAATAATTGAATGTACGCGTGTGGTTGGTCTTATTGGAATCATATGACTTTGTAACCAAGTTTTACAGAAATCAGATTCAAATACATTATATCAGTGTGATGGGTGTGGCACACGTGTTTCTATGAGGAATTGCTTTACTACAAGCTTAACTACAGTATACGTCTAATACCGTTGAATTTCCATTGTTGTGTGAAAAAGTTGCCATTTAAACTGACCCTCTGTATGTAACTAAAATAGTTTTGAACTTGGTTTAATTTAACAAAATAAACAGAAATGTTTGAAAACATGCAAAAAAAAATCAATCAAAAATCAATAAAACATGACCATTGGAAATGTTTTTATGTATCATTTGTATGTTATTCTGGCATGGAAAATGGCTCAAAATTTAAGGTGAAATTAAAGAAAAAAATCCATTTGCCTCTAACATTCTTTAATTTGTAAACATATTACGAAAGGTACTGCTTAAAAATGCATAGTACACACAGTATCATGTATTATATTTGAAAAAAACTGACCTTCTGAACTTAGAGGTGGCACTGTTATTATTATATATCTTTTATTTGCCTTAAATGGTTAGGAACTGAAACCAAAATGTGTTGTTTGGATGAAAGATAAAGTTTTCATTTCATAATCAAAGATTCATTTTAGAATTACTTTTAAAAATAGAATTTATAAATATCATTATTATCAGCATGATACAAATTAAATATGACATAACCACATATAATTTGTTATTACAGGATGTATAGTATCTGATTTTGAACCTATAATCAAGAAGCATATTGAAGGTGTTACATTTAAGTCGCACAAAAAGGAGAACAGTGTTGGCTTAGTCCAGGTTCCCTTTGGACAGGTATGGTCTAATCCTTATACATTACAAACCCTGCTGAGCAACACCCTTTTTAGACAAAGATTTTGGTTGTTATAGAGAGGTAGTTGCTGTACAGAGGTTATATTACTGTAAATGGGAAGAATTGATTCTGGTGTTGTAAAGAGGTTATTGCTTTACAGAGGGTAATTTTCTGTGTTGGCTTGTTAGCTGTCTCATTGAAAAATTCTATTATAATACATGTATTGTACATTGTTTTGGATTTTATGCTCCTGAAGGGAGGCATATTAAAATCACATCGTCCATCTGTCTGTCTGTCTGTGCGTACCTACTTCATTCGTGTCCAGACTGTAACTTTGTCATACATTGAGGGAGTTTGAAATAGCTTGGCACAAATATCTACCACGTCAAGACGATGTGTCGCTTCCAAGAACCACGTCCATACCTCAAAGGTTCAAGAAATCAAGACTTTAAAAAAATATATATATTTACTTGTATAGTTTATAAAATGTAAGTTTAAGAATTCTAAAAATATTCTCCAACCAGGTGAAAATGAATGTACATGTATTTTGCAAAATATGGCAGAATATTTTATCATCAAAATTCCATCTTGTTACAAAGAATATTTTATATTAAGGACGTTTTGGTCTAGAATGTAATGTTGTTTTTTTTAACAGTCTTTAAAATGAGAAGTTCAAGATATAAAGTGGACAATTTTTTTCTGCTTTATGGTGGTATTCTCATCTGTTTTAGTTTTGGTAACATTGACAACTAATGTTTGCATTAATACTTTTTTCGCAGAAAGATGTTATTTCTAGTGTTTAATGATTTGTTGTTAATTTATGCAGCTCTACCAAGAGGCCAATCAACTGAAGGAGAACTTTGATCATATGGTATCAGTTCTGGCAGCCTTGAAACCAAAAAACCAAGGTAAGTTAAACAATTTAGTCCCAGTATACAGTCATATATTTATTTAAACTAGATTGATATTAAAGGAACTCCACTGAGGTCAAATAGCCTAAAACCAAAAATTTGAAATGTTTACATAGATCAAGTGAAGCACTTGAAATGGAAAAACCTGTGAAGGATAATAAAGAAATATAATCAAAATTAAATTGAAAATCGATAGCAAATGGAATTGTTGGCTTGATTTGGGTGAAAAGTGTTGCAATGAATTTCATTTTGGATCATTGTACACAATAAAAAAGATTAATCTAGAAAAACCAGTTCAGGAAATGATCTGAAAATTTGTCATTGGTTTAGACTTACATGAAATGGTACACGAATGTCAGGGAAAATATTTTCAGTCCCGTCATGTCAGAAAGCCATAGTGGAGTCCCTTTAAAGCTTATTTGAAGTTACTGGAGCTAAGCAATACTGGAGTCATATAAGAACTCATGTTGTGACCCAAGTACATATTGAACCTACATTCCCTGGTTAAAGAGGCTTATCCACACTAGGGCTCACCTTACATGATTTTGGGTAACAAGTTAACACCAGTTTAATAAGCTATACATAATTTACATGAACTTGTACTTGAGTTATGACCCTTTTTTCCAATATATAGGATTTTCATGTTGAGAGCAATTTTATCAGCAGTAATACGCAGAATTGCACTTGAGAAGTTCCTCAACATAAAAAATCTGAAGAGACATTTGTTCTGAGACTAGAATTTTTAGGTCATTGTGACTTTAAACACTAAAAAAAATATTGAACAAGATTGCATTTGAGAAAAATGCTATGCCACCGTATTGATACCTAAGCTCTAGGCCTTTTGGGTCTTTACAAGAAGGTATTTTAAGTTTTTGAAGCCTTGTACCTTCAGACAATAAGATTTTTTTATTTTTTACTATATGTTTATATTGAAAATCAATGACCCCCGGGGCAATTTTGACCCCAGGGCTATAATTTGAACAATCTTGCCAGAGGTTCACTACACAATGTTTCATGCAAAATATCTAACCTCTAGCATTTCTCAATTGCTAGAAGAAATTTTTTTAAAGTTTTGACTATAAGTTTTTACTATATACATAGAAGGAAAACCAATGACCCCCGAGGCGGGGCCGATTTTGACCCCAGGGCTATAATTTGAACAATCTGGGTAGAGGTCTACCACACAATGCCTTATGCAAAATATCTAAGCTCTAGGCCTTTTGGGTCTTTACTAGAAGGTATTTAAAGTTTTTACTATATGTACATATAGTGAAAATCAATGAAACCCTGAGCGGGGCCGATTTTGACCCTAGGGCTATAATTTGAACAATCTTGGTAAGGGTCTACCAGACAATGCCTTATGCAAAATATCTAAGCTCTAGGCCTTTTGGGTCTTTACAAGAAGGTATTTTAAGTTTTTACTATATGTACATATAGTGAAAATCAATGACCCCTGGGGCGGGGCCGATTTTGACCCCAGGGCTATAATTTGAACAATCTTGGTAGAGGTCTACCAGGCAATGCCTAATGCAAAATATCTAAGCTCTAGGCCTTTTGGGTCTTTACAAGAAGATTTTTTTAATTTATTCTTATAATTCCTTTTGGTTGCCATGGCAACCAGATTTCTGCATGGAATGAAATTCTTTGAACAACTTTGGAAGCCCTTCACCCAAGGATCAATCCTGCCAAGTTTGGTCTAAATTGGACTAGTGGTTTTTCACAAGAAGATTTTTTAAGTTCACTATATAATCTATATAACACACAAACAAACAAACAAACACACACACACACACACAGGTGAATCGCTATATGCCACCGCATCGCAGATGCTGCGGTAGCATAAAAAGTCTACAGAGTGAAATATTTTTGCATTAGAATAATTATTCACATGCTTTATTGTTTTTTGACATTCAATTTAATTTTTTTTCTTCTTTTTTGCAGCATATTTATTGAAGACTATAAGACTGATAGCCCCTCCATCAACTGAGATATTTGAATTAGAATTTATAAAGACGGAGGGTGTGCTGACACAAGAAATAGAGGATTCAGATGAAGAAGATTAAAGTGTATTATACATTTTATGTACATTGATTACATTAAGAATAAATTTGAAATAACTATTTGTAAATTATAAAGTTATGGCTCTTTTTTTTTAATTGTTCAAGAGTTTTGCAGTCATATGGCGGCTTTCCAGTTTTACTAGTGGAGGAAGACCTAGAGTGCATTATTTCAGACATGAAAGAGCACACTAAGTAGAATCACCAATGTTCCTTAAGCTAGCTGGATAGCTTTCTCACATGAAAGTCAAGAATCCAAAGTCTCTGGCAGGAATCGAACTTACAGCGGTAAAGGGCAAGTGATTGGAAGTTCTGCAAGATTTTTTCTGCCCTGAAACAAGTTATTAAATGTTGAATTGAAATTCAAGCTGGCTTCAAATTTAATTTATCTTAGGCTTACCATGCTAAGTGCTAAATATCTTAATAATTGTCTATTTTCAATCAGACTAAAACCACTCATTTATAAGGAACATATGGAAAGTACTGACTGATTAGAATAGAGAACAGTCAAGACCATGTTCAGACTGTACGGTGTTCAGTCACTGCCAACAGGCTAAGGATTAAAGAAATTCTTTGAATATTTTGAATGCTTTAAAACTACAGTACTTAAGATTGTACAGTTTGTTTTCAACTTGGATACATATCGTAATGAAAACAGTAGTATATACTTTCTTTCATAGCAGAAAATTTGGAATGAGCTCAAATTGTTAAATCAATATAATTCAGGTGAGTCTAGAATATCCTTAAAAATTCCAACATGACACATGATGGAACAATACACAGGACTGCCAAACCGTCGGTTCTATAAAGACATCCACCACCTTTTTAGAATGGTAACATCAAATAAATAGAAAACAACAAATTTTTTAAAATGATAATAAAGTCTTTAATCACTAAAATTTTATCAAACAGCTAGTTCCCATGGCAACATAGTGGTTTATTTGTACAACAACAGGAATTATTTTTCTGATACACAGTCTCACTTTCTCAATCTATAAATCATTTACAACAATCTATGTATCCATTTTTCAACTAACTAAATGGTTTTTCCAAGCATAAAATAATACAAAATTTGCTAACATACATGTTTGATAAATATAAAATCATGTGACAGATTTAAAAATACTATTGTGGAGACATTGATAACAAATTATTCAAAAGCAAGATCTCCAAAAGAGCTAGAGGTATAAATTTAATTTCAATTAATTTTAATTTTGTTGGGTTTCTTTATTGTCACACAGAATTTCATATGACCACTTTTAAGTTATCTGGTATGTATAAAATGTTATTTTTTTTTTAATTCTTTAATGTCGTACAGAATTTCATATGGCAACTTCCAAGTTTTCTGGTTTTATTTATATCAGAAAATCATGTTTTAACACTTGTGTGATTTAAACACACACTTCTTACTCACACATCTAATGCTGACATGTTTAAGCTAAATGGATACTTCACTCTAATTTTCATATTCAGTTACACAAATAATGCCACACAGCAATGAGGGTATGATATGCAGAAAGGACCATGGAACAACTACATAACCTATGGTTAAGGAAAGACAACTGTAATGTATGCAGTATATAGTATATATACATCTTTAAAAGGTTTCATTTATCTTAACTAAGAAAATTTGGTGTGAACTGTTTAAATCCTATTATCTTAATGAAAATATACATACATGAAAATAATACTGCTTTGAAAGATCACATTTTGTTATCAACAGGAATTCTGGTACAAAAATCTATCAATAAGGTGCACAAAAAAGCATAAAATACACTTCTAAACATAACTAGATTTTGAAAATAAAAAAACAACAACAGAAAAGCAATTTAGGCGATGAATAATTTCCATTACCAACAACAACCCTCATGTTTCTTTTATTACTATGAAATCTAGTTCCTTGTGACCGTATTTCAGAATTAACACATTGAAAAACATTACAATTCACTTTCATCAAGCTTCTTTTTTCTTCTACAGAATGCTGTCAAAATTAACTTGTCAATAAATGTCCAGTACATGTACACAAGTGACCCAAATACGGATGATGTATAAATGTGTTGCATGATTATCCTATCTCAAATATTCATACCGTTTCAAACATTTTCTTTTTTTTTATAACCTATAAAATGATATTCAGAAGACTATGATTTTAAAGTCTCTCGACTTACCATGAACAGTTTAATGCAGAAGCGAAAAAAAAGTATTATGTAGAATTCATAGAGACATATAAAATATTTCAACCAATGAGATTCCAGATTGACAAGTTTACTTACAGACACCAGGGAATATATCTACATTATCTAATTATAGAATCGTATATATATACATGTAGTACATTATATATCTAATATTTAAAATTATATTGCATACAACTAACAATTCCATATATACAAATCATTTTAAAATCCAATAGAAATTATTACTTAATTTGTTTTATTTTTCTTTATTTTTTTTAAACGGATAATTCAGCAGATGCATAAACAATAACATAGCCATGGTAACCACTCTATTTAGAACTCCCCTAAAGGAGAGTTTCTTGTAAAAGGGAGACAACTTATGAGAGATTCTCAATATAAACTTCAGACATTTCACTTAACATTTTTATTTCTTTTATAATACACCCAACAGCAATTCAACAGTCTTTTTCTTTATAAAGAAAAAACTCTTTATTGCATAATTATTTTCATTCTTTAGATAAACACTGATTATCATGCAGAAAAACTATCTTGAAACAAAATTTCCAAAAAAAAACCTTTAGAAAATAAAACAATAAAATCCTAAACAAATAACAAAACGGTTATTGGTTTTAATTTACACATGTATAATGTTTAACACAATTTGATTTTTTTATGTAAATGTGAGACCAGCATCATTGTAAACTTTAAAGATTTTCTCGATCGAGGTAATGAAAGCTGCAGTACGAAGGTCAAGGCCAAGGTTGTATTTCATGGCAGTTCTCATGATGTTCTGAAAAAAGAAAATTATTGTATAACCACATTAAAAAGTAGTAAATTACTTAAGAAATTTATCTGCAAAAAAGTTTCCTATTCTGTGTTCATACTATGCTTTTCAGGTTTACCAGATTAAAAAAAAAAAAATCAAATTCTCAGACTTCTCTGTGCATTATATCAGGCAAGTGTAAATAACATCATCTCTCCATAGGACAGCTTAATAGTTTCTTCACATACAAGAACACAATATGATATAAATTTACAGATTTTATAGGGTTTTCTGCAGAGGGATTTGAATATTATGTCGCAATGACGCTGTAAAGGCCATATGGCAATTTGCCAGCTTTACTGGTGGAAGAAGACCTCAGGTGTCCCTTGACATGAGCAGACACATGAGTAAAACCTATGACCATCTGTACGCTAACTGGATAACTTCCTCACATGAAAGAATTTGCCAGGATTCGAACCTACAGCAGTGAGAGGCAAGTGATTTGAAGAGATGCCTAATTTCCCCTTCATACTATCTTATATCTATAATATGTTTATTATATATATAGGGGAAGGGTAGGGGTGTGTGTATTAGACCTCAGGCACCTGTGGAACCACTTGGCCAGAGAGACCAACTTTTGAAGAAGTAACTAAGGCAAGAGTTCATTGTTATACTTACCCTGGCAGATCTTTCCATGGTGTATTCAAGTCCAGAATGCACAATGTCTTTTTCTGAGGCACCCTGTTGAAAAAGTTGAAATAAGGAATATTATTGCAATGAACGAAGTGAATTACATTTTAATCACTTATTTTTCAAATGTAAAATGAAAAAAAGTAAAAATATTAAACTTTTTTCCTGTAGCAGGCAGTCAATGATGTATTTAAATGAAAAACTTTTAATCAATGGCTTCCTATAAAATCGAATAGAGGTTATCGGTACTGAACAGAAACTTCTGTACAGAAAACAAATTTAAAGAGTTTATATCAAAATAATCATCTATTTTAATATAATGTCTGTCACTTTAACTACTGGATGTGTTATTGTGGATAGTGAAAAGTGATTTGAAACATATTATATTGCAATTACTAGGTAAAAGAGAATTAGGGCAGAAAAGGAGGTATTAAACATGGTATTGTTATTCTTACTTTCCTTTCTTCACAGAAAAGAGAGTATATCTTCAGTTAAAAGTTTTCCTACCTCTATTAAAAAAGAGCATTAAACCACTTTCAAATGTCTTATTGTAATTCATTAATTAGTCTTTTTACTGCTCTGAAATTGAACACCTCCTACTAAGAAGAACTGCACCAATAAAGAGTAGTTCCCCTTTCCAGAATATTGAAACTTTAAAATAAATAGTTTTCGAAATAATTCCGATGACCCATCTTCAAAAAAAAAAAAAAAAATACTTATGACATAATGCATATGGAGACAGCCAATGGCCGTACTTACAGCAATTCTAGTCTCAAAGTTATCTGATGGCACAATAGGGATGGCCCCTCCATTCTTGCCAAACTTGCGCTCTAATGACCTCTGTACACTTTCTAATTAAAAGAAATAATGAAAACAACAGTTAGAATATTAGAAATACATGTAATTATAGGAATTTTAGGACAAGGATATTGCTAAATCTAATATTGTTTTGGTGTGTGATAATAGTTTTCAAAACCCTGGTGTTATTGTTTGTCTGGTCTGTTGAGTTACATATGCATTACATAATACATGAGTACATGCCAGAACCAACATTGCTGAAAAATGTTTTTTTTATTCTCCATTTTGAATTTGTTTTGGAAAACAAATGAGAAATTTAATTTCCTTTTTTCTTCCTTTTAAAGGCTAGTGTAATTCCACAAAAGCTCATATATTATCAATGCCATGTCATTTCTCAACAGTGGATGGATCTAAATGAATAATAGATGTTATCCGGAATTTGGCAAATGTGGGTTTTTCCCAGCTAATCTGTAGGTACAAACAAACTTTTACCATTAAAGCTTTTCGGTGCACTACCCGTCACAATAGATTTGTCAACCTGTTGCTCAAAGTTGTAACTGTAAAAGTTAGTTTGTACCTACGAATTAGCTGGGAAAAACCTAAATATTCTCAATTCTGGAGTAAGTCTATTGATCTAAATCTAAGGAAAGTTAGTAAAAACACACTGGGAAATCAAAACTATATTTTATTTAGTAGGCTTCAACCTGCACTATTCACTTACAGCAATACGCTCAGCAAAGTTCTCCGAAGGAACAATCGGAATAGCATCAGCATTTTTACCAAATTTATTCTCTAGAGATCGCTGTACACTTTCTGATGTAAAAAATGCATTAATATATAACATAATGAAATGTCACTATATAAAAATTATATTTGCATTGTGACCAGGATTCAAACCTGCCATAATTTCAGCCTGTTACCTTAAATTACTTCACAAATTGACAGCAGTTTATATATGTATAACAAGGGTGCCATAGTCACAAAATACGCCCGTTTACGAAAGCTTTAGATGGAGATGGGGGCATTATGGATAAGTGTTATCTAGCAAGCAAGTTTTTATTCTTGGCACTGTGTTGTTAAATGAACCTTAAAACAAATCAGTAGGGAAGATATGCACAGGATGTGTGACCTTGACCTTGGTCGCAGGGACCTGAAATTTTATGACGGCACTCAGCCTCACAATGATGAACATTTGTGCCAAATTATATTGAAATTCCTCTATGCATGTAGAAGTTTGCTCCAGACAAGCGTTTTTCTATGAGCTCTAACTGTTGACCTTCACCTTGACCTAGAGACTTTGTTCATGTGCAGGCACTACGTCTCATGGTGGTGAACAATTCTATAAAGTAACATTTTAAAATTCCTCCATGCATGTAGAAAAATATGCTCCGGACAACATCTGGATATTTAATCATCTCCAGTGACCTTGACCTTGCAAATATTAACCTAAATTAAATGTGTAACACCTGTAGTCATGATAGTTACCATTTGTGCTACAATCCATCAATAAATGATGACTAAATGGTCCCTATAACCATCTTCAAATTTTTATCTGAACTTTGACCTCTATGTGTAACCTTGACTTTGGTCGCAGGGATCTGAATTTTGCATGCGACACTCAGCCTCACAATGGTGAACATTTGTGCCAAGTTATATTGAAAACCCCCTATGAATGTAGAAGTTTTGCTCCGGACAAGCGTTTTTCAATGAGCTCTAAGTGTGACCTTGACCTTTGACCTGGAGACCTGGATCATGCATGGAGCAATACATATCATGGTGGTGAACATTTCCATAAAGTATTATAAAAAGGAGAGCTGAACTGATATTTACTTGAAAATTAAAATATAATTAAATTTCTATGAGAAAGTATTTACATTTGATAAGGTAATTACTGTATGATCTTTATGAACAAATACCAAGTCTACAGAACACCATAGTTATCACAGTTAAGAATCTTGACCAATGAATGAAACATGTGTAAATAAATGTTACATTCTTTAGAACATACTCAAGTCCAAGAAAGAGGATTATTTCATGCCCTTTGATTAAATTCTATTTTTAGAATTGAAAGTGAAAATAGATCAAGGGGAGTAATTGTGTAAGTCATTTATGAACAAAGTAATAACTTTGTTGTCTCCCTTTGATTAAATTCTATTTACAAAATCTGGATATTTCATCATCTTTAGTGACCTTGACCTTGTATATATTTGACCTAAAATTATATGTATCACAGCCATAAGTCTTGATAATGACCCATTTGTGTTTACAATGCCTCAATAAATGATGACTAAATTGGTCCATATACACATCTTTCATATTTTTATCTGAACTTTGACCTCTATGTGTGACCTTGACCTTGGCCGCAAGGACCTGAATCTTGCACGCGACACTCCGCCTCACAATGGTGAACATTTGTGCCAAGTAATATTGAAATCCCTCTATACATGTGGGAAGTTTTGCTCCGGACAAGCATTTTTCAATGAGCTCTAAGTGTGACCTTGACCTTTGACCTAGAGACCTGGTTCATGTGCGCCACACTGCTCCTCATAGTGGTGAACATTTCTATGAAGTTTCATTAAAATCCCTCCATACATGTAGGAGATATGCTCCGGACAAAATTGGACGCCGCCCGCCCGCCCGCCAGGGGCGTTCCCATAATACGTCCCGTTTTTCAAACGGGCGTATAAAAATTATATAAACGTCATGATTATCAAATGAAAAGACATCACAAACATGCAATATCATAAATATGGTTGTGCAATGTATGTAATATATTGTATACTGCAATATTTTGTCTGGCACTTCGTTTATATGGTGTATATTGAAGCTATAAACTTTTTAATAAAAACATAAAATTCTATTATAGATAGAAAAGTAGTCAACTTTATTAGCTTGACTTCAAATGACATTTGATATGATTTTTCTTTGCTGCAATAAATACCCTACCCTAATTATAAACATGAGTATGAACAACTGAAAAATCTTTTGTTAACCAACTTTAGAATACATGTAATTCAAAATGAATATATTCAGTTTTGCTGATGTAGAACACGATGACATTAGAACTGTTAAGAAATTCAGCAGGTTAAAGTTAATTGCTGAAGCATTTGAAAAAGGTGTTTTCATGGTTCCATATTGATTACAGATGTTTAGTCATTAATATACACAACTTTGCATGTGTGCAGTCTATAAACTAGTTTAGAACTGGATTTAACTGGAAATATTCATTGTAAAATGATGCATAATTCATAGCTGTTTTCAATGCAATATTCATGATATATGATATGTACACATGACATGCATACTGAGCTGCTTAACCATTTAAAACCTTTTTAGCTGACACACTACATTACATGCTATAGATGATGAAATCTAAATGTCAATAAACAAACTAACACACACAATACACTCAAATGTTGGCAGGTTAGTCTATTTTTATATTCTAGTACGGCAGACCTTTCACGTATTACTTGGACATCAACATTTTACTAAAGCATGATGTAAAATAATCTATTTTAAGTTTATATAGTATTAAAATGCTTCAGTCATAAGCAAGGGCAATCTCCTTAAGTAACTGTCAACTTCTCAACATAAATAATTCAAAACAATGGAGGACCAGTCATTATTGCCAATTAAGCATTATACATGTATATACATTGTCATCATTCAAATAATTACTGTCCCAACAGCAGAGGGCTTCACTTTTCTGAACTTTACTTTTATTTAATGACCAAGTTCATATTTTGTTATACTTTTCTGAACTTTACTTTGGTTTAATGACCAAGTTTATATTTTGTTATTATTATTTGTATATCCCACGAAGAATTGCAAATATGTAGAAAAAAAACATTCCAGAGGAAATTTACAATAATTCTCAAGTATTTATTTATCTCATCTTAAGCCAGCTACTAACCTGTTATCACTCAACGAGGCTTGACCATGTGACCTTGCCAGCAGAAAGTTACATTTAAACAACTCAACAATTTTACAGTAATCTGACCTAGTAAAAACTTCAGATCCTTTAGGATATTCTAAAGTATTTTCATTTTAATTATATACATAAAAAATTTAAACCTGGCTTGATGAAAAAACTATTGTATCATTTTTATTTCATTGTAGTTACATCTATATTCCCCGATACCTTGTTATGCTATGATATTATTATATCATGACTTGACACAGATAATGGACAACAAACAAGTTCTCTAAGGTAAACAACAAAGATAACAGGGAGTTTATGACTTGTCCCTTTTTAGGACACTATCTTACAGTTCAACTTGAATGTTTGACCTTAAACATACTAGTACATCTTAAAGAGTACCATAGACAACTTTGGTGAGATAAAAAACTGTTTTGATTTATTTATATTTCCATTAGTTTGAAATGCATAAAGATCCTGTCAAAGTCTTTCTTCTTTTGCTACTTCCTATTTTGCTATCATTTCTATAATTAACAATCTCAGGTAACGGTAGGATGCAAACATGTAAAACTCAATACGGTAGGCTGGATTTTAAAGCAATTCAACTTAATCAAGCTGTTTATTTCTAGTGATTGAGATCAAAAAGTAAAAATATTTTTTTAACTAGAAATGTGTCCATAGGACACGGGTGCCCCCACCGCATCACTGTTCTGTCAATCTTATGACTCTAGGTCAAATATTTTTTGAAAACTAAAAATCTTTTACTAAGTAAAGGGCAAGAACTTTACAAATACTGAATAAATCCACAAGCAAACCCCAAGGTGCATAAGTGCACATGCTGACCAACATTCTTGTAAACTTTCAGGCCTACAAGTGAAATACTTTTTGAGCTATGCATGAACAAGTTGAAAATTGCAAATTTATACTACTGTAAGTCAAGGGCAATAACTCTAACAAAACTGAAAAAAATCCACATGCAAAGCCCCAGGTTCATAGCTTTACAGTGATGTGAATCATTATTATTCCTGTAATTAAGTGATGATGATCATCATTCCTGTAAAGTTGGTTGATTCTAACTCAAGCACTCAAGAAACAAATAACAACATAATGAAACGGTTTTTACTAAGTCAAGGGAAATAACTCTACAAATACTGGTTAAATCCACAAGTGAAACCCCAGGTGCATAACTAAATATGCTGAGCAACCTTCCCGTAAGGTTTAATAACTCTATGTCAAATCCTTTTTGAGTTACATGCGACACAAGTTGAAAATTGCAAAAAATTTCTAAGTCAAGGGCAATAACTCTAAAAATACTAATTAAATCCAGATGAAAATACCCAGGTGCACAACTACACATGCTGATCAACATTCCTGTAAAGTTTCATGACTCTAGGTCAAATCCTTTTTGAGTTACATGCTACACAAGTTGAAAATTTCAAAATTTTACTACATGTAAGTCAAAGGCATTAACTCTAGAAATACTAAATATATCCCGACGAAAATACCCAGGTGCACAACTACACATGCTGATCAACATTCCTGTAAAGTTTCATGACTCTAGGTCAAATACTTTTTGAGTTATGTGCGACACAAAAGAGAACAGACGGATGGAAGGACAGACGGACGGACAAGGGTAAATCTAAATTCCCGCCACTAAAGTGGGGGCACAAAAAACAAAAACAAGAGGGATATGATGGCCATCAAGCGCTCACCTGTGCATGAACAAGATTGCATTATTAAGACTGGTTGAAACATCAATTTTTTGCCATCTTGTTCAGCAGTCAGTAACCATTTGAACAAATTTTAAAGAGATTCATCCAAAGATCATTCCTGTATAGTTTCATCAAAACCCTACAGTTAAGAGGACATGTTGTCAAAAGGTTTTTCTTTTTTTTAACTTTAGTAGCCATCAAGTTCAGCAAATCCAAACAATTTTATTAACTATAATAAAATGCTGCCCAATGATCATTTTTGAAGAGTTTCATCAAGATCTAATTCATAAGTTGATTCAAAGAATTATATTTCATCCATTACATTAAACATTTCCTTTTTCTATACCTCTTGCAAAATTGAGAAAGAAAATTAACAGCCTTTCAAGAATTGTTTCAACAATCATTGTTTCACTACAATACATCCTTTTTTCTATTGAATTTATATTTAGATATTTGGTTATTATAAAACGTTACTGACTTACCTAAGAGATAGTAGTTAGAATCTCTCTCATATTTGAAGGTTAGACGTCCATAACTGACATGGTTCAGATTCTTCAACCACTCGAAATATGACACGGTCACACCACCAGCGTTCAAATAGAGATCCTATCAAATGGATAATTCAAAATTAATTGATTTTAAAAAGGCAATATCTTTTTCTATATTTGATTTAATAACAGAAGTGTTTGCCTAGAGGCTTAAGTGTCTGCATCAACTTTAAGATCAAACTCAGTTCAAAAATAGATCCTCATACGAAACCAATGCTGGCTTGTTCCAGAAAACAGATTGACAATGATTTATATAAACTTCAATAAATGAGGTATAGAATGATTTGACAAATAAGATTTTATTTAATTTTAGTAACTGTCACACAAAGAGCATCCACAACAGTTTATCAGCCACAAAAAACATAATTTCTTTAAATAACATATGGAACAACACAAGGTTTCTACCATTTTAATCTAATGACTTCTTCATTGATTATTATTGATAATTTTCCTTACTTTCAAAATGAACACAATTTCTAATAAAAGCAAAATAAAATTCAGATTATGTAACACGGAGAGACTAAAAGAACTTACAGGTATAACTAGAACATTATTTTCCAAGAAAATTTGATCAGCTTCAATCGTTGTTGGACCATTAGCTCCTTCTGCTATGATCTGAAAGATGATTATTCAAAAATAGTAATACAATACATGTAAGCTATTGTTTTCCTTTGACATAATTTAAATTTCTACTCAATTAACACTATCAATGTCTATACCAAACTGTAATGTGATGACTAACCTTAACCATACTATTACTACAATACCATCAATGTCTTTACCATACAATGTCATGTAATGATTTACTACACCATACTATTACTACATATCCATTAATGTCTATACCATACCAAGAATGTGATAACTAATCTTAAACATACTATTACTACATAACCATCAATGTCTATACCATACAATGTCATATGATGACTGACTATACCATACTATTACTACATATCCATAAATGTCTATACCATACCAAGAATGTGATAACTAATCTTAAACATACTATTACTACATAACCATCAATGTCTATACCATACAATGTCATATGATGACTGACTATACCATACTATTACTACATAGCCACTAATGTCTATACCATACAATGTCATGTGATGAACAACTATACCATAACTCTTCAAAATACCATCAATGTCTTTACCATACAATAATGTCTGATAATCAAAATCTATACCATACCTTAGCTTGTACTTGATGAGCATTAGCAGCTGTAAGTTGTTTCTCACTAGCTGCGGGAACAAGTATATCACATTTTTCTGTAAGCATATTGCCATCATATGGCTTGGCAAGAGGGTATCCTACTATAGTTCCATTTTCCTGAAACAAAGTTATAGAAAGTGATAATGCAGTGATAAAAACTTTTCAAATTTGAAAAAAGATATAGAGATTAAACTCAATGTACACAAAATTACTACAGTGTTTCAATGACATCTTTATTTTAATTCACCTATCTCATATTAAGCATTGCAGAGAAGACTCCTTTTTTTCCAAATTCATTTTTGTGTGTGCCATATTAAATATATATATGTGTCAATTGATGATACACAATTGCACGTTGTAGCTACTCTGTAGCGGGCGACACAATACTTTACCGAATATTTGTACTCATTTAATAAAGCTATCCACTTTCAGTGTGTTAAATTTTGTGCAGCAGAACAAAGACAAAATACGTCAGAACTTCAAGCAAACGAAAACAATAACCTATAAGTAATTGAAGCAGGAAATAACTTACAATTTTATAGTCCTCTAGATCACGTGGATGTATACCCTCTGGGTTAAATATAGAACCATCGTATTCCATAATTCCTATAATTTTAGCTCCAGCACGATGTAGATATCTCATAGAGTGAAGACCTACATTACCAAAACCCTGGAAATATTAAAGTACATACAATATGAAATTAACTTTCAGTGTTCAACAAAAGCATTTTTTTTTTCAACATTGCACAGAAATTTTACTGATTTCGGGTTTCAGACTCATTTCCAAAACAACAAGCAAATTCGTTGAATTTATATCCCCCGCCGAGTACTGGTTATTATTAACACAACAATAAGGCTTTATTTATATATTAATCATGGCATAAACTGTAATATTCTTTGAACTTGAAGCCTTGTACCTTCAAACAAGAAGAAGTTTTCACTATATACATATAAGGTAAATCTATGACCCCCAGGAGTGGGGCCAATTTTGACCCCAGGGCTAAAATTTGAACAATTTTGGTAGAGGACCTATAGGTTATATCATATACCAAATATCAAAGCTCTAGGCCTTGTACTTTCAGACAAGATTTTTTAATTTTGCATTTTTTAAACTCCTTTTCTGGCCCTGTGACCTACATATGCAACAGACCGGAACCATTTGATCAACTTTTGCAGGGGACCACCCTAGGATCATTCCTATAAAGTTTGGTTGCTGTGCAGTCATTTGTTTCTGAGGAGATGTTGTTTAAAGAAATTGCTGACGACTCACGACGACGGACGGAGGGGGATCACAATAGCTCACCTAGATGTAAAAACATCTTAATCTCCAGACTTTATTGCCATTTTCAAGGCATCAAGAAGGGATCTCACAATTTTCAAATATTTTTAAATGTTATTGTAACAAATCATTTTAATTCTTCTTTAATAAAAACTAGAAATGTGTCCATAGGACACAGGTGCCCCCACCGCACCACTGTTCTGTCAATCTTATGACTCTATGTCAAATATTTTTTGAAAACTAAAAATCTTTTTACTAAGTAAAGGGCAAGAACTTTACAAATACTGAATATATCCCCAAGCAAACCCCAAGTTGAAAATTGCAAATTTAAACTACTGTAATTCAAGGGCAATAACTCTAACAAAACTGAAAAAAATCCACATGCAAAGTCCCAGGTTCATAGCTTCACAGTGAGGTGAATCATTATTCCTGTAATTTAGTGATGTTGATCATTATTCCTGTAAATTTGGTCGATTCTAACTCAAGCACTCAAGGATCAAATAACAACATAATGAAACAGTTTTTACTCAGTCAAGGGAAATAACTTTACAAATACTGGGTAAATCCACAAGCGAAACCCCAGGAACAAACTAAATATGCTGAGCAACTTTCCAATAAGGTTTAATGACTATGTCAAATCCTTTTTGAGTTACATGCGACACATGTTGAAAATTGCAAACATTTTCTAAGTCAAGGGCAATAACTCTAAAAATACTAAATAAATCCAGACAAAAAAACCCAGGTGCAAAACTACACATGCTGATCAACATTCCTGTAAAGTATCATGACTTTAGGTCAAATACTTTTTGAGTTACATGTGACACAAGTTGAAAATTGCAAAATTTTACTAAGTCAAGGGCCATAACTCTAAAAATAGTAAAAATATCCGGACGAAAATACCCAGGTGCACAACTACACATACTGATCAACATTCCTGTAAAGTTTCATGACTCTAGGTCAAATACTTTTTGAGTTACATGCGACACAAGTTGAAAATTAAAAAAATTTACTAAGTCAAGGGCAATAACTCTTAAAATACTAAAAATATCCAGACGAAAATACCCAGGTGCACAACTTCACATGCTGATCAACATTCCCATAAAGTTTCGTTGAATTCCAGCCATTAGTTGCAGAGAACTACTCCGGAAACAAAATTCAGATGTTTTACTAAGTCAAGGGCAATAACTCTAAAAATACTAAAAATATCCAGACAAAAATACCTAGGTGCACAACTTCACATGCTGATCAACATTCCCATAAAGTTTCGTTGAATTCCAGCCATTAGTTGCAGAGAACTACTCCGGAAACGAAATTCAGACGTTTACTAAGTCAAGGGCAATAACTCTAAAAATACTAAAAATATCCAGACGAAAATACCTAGGTGCACAACTTCACATGCTGATCAACATTCGCATAAAGTTTCGTTGAATTCCAGCCATTAGTTGCAGAGAACTACTCCGGAAACGAAATTCGGACGGACGGATGGACGGACGGACGGACAACGCCAAAACTATATCCCCCTCCCGATTCATCGGCGGGGGATAATTAAAGCAACTGTAGTAAAGTCTTACTTTCAGATCTATCCTTATTTACATAAATATCAATATTTTAATCACATTTTTTTTATGATCCTAATGTCTACTATAAAATTCAATGGACATTTGGCTTAATATTACAACCGTCCCACAAATATTCATTATGACCAAGCTTTATTGTCCATGTGTTTCTTCTAATATTTCGATTATACTTTTTTCATTAACATAAATAAAATATATGAGCCACGTCATGACAAAACCAACATAGCGCATTTGTGATCAGCATGGATCCAGACCAGCCTGCGCATCCAAGCATCCATGCTGTTCGCTTTCAGTTTCTCTACTTGTTGTATAGGATTTGTAAGCGAACAGCATTGATCCTGATTAGACTGCGCGGATGCGCAGGCTGGTCTGGATCCATGATGGTCGCAAACCCATTCTGTTGGTTTTGTCATGATGCGGCTCAATTATGTTGAGTAAATTGAGGCACTCAGTATCTAAGTGACATAGTCATACCTGTATAATGACAGTTTTGTCACCAAATCCTGGTGTTAGACCAACCATAGACATGTAGGATGCTTCCATAATAAAGTTCTGTATACCATGGAACACTCCCTATAATTATAAATAAAGTAATATACATTTCATTATATTTATAAGAATTTAATAATATAACATGCACCTGTATATTATTAGACTGCTAAGATGCCATGGCCATTTAAATTTTGGTCATTAACCATCAGCTATGATACCGGAAGAAATTAAGTTAAATCTTATCAAAATCTTTTCACTAAAATCTTTCTTTCCTTTTTTTTTTTGGGGCCCTCTCTGGGGGTTTTTCCCCTAATTCCCATCTTTTTAAAATACCCTTTTTAAAAACAGCATGTCACTGCCAGTGACTGGGCAATTTTAATTTAAATTTTTAAAAGAGAAAACAAAATTTATATTTTAAAAAGGACCCGTCCCAAAAATTTTAGGTTTGGAAATATTAACAAGTGACTGGTAAAAAAAACATTTTTTAATTTTATTAACTACATAAGAAACAAGAGTTGACCACATTTAATGAAGACTTACACGTCCGGTGGCAGATGTTCTACCGTGAATACCACCGGCAGTGATTGGTTTACCGGTTACACACGCATGAGCATTGATGTCATAATGACCTAAAATATAAAATAAAATAAATTCTTAATAGTACAAACATTGCGTAAAATGGGCTTAATCCTTTACATCAAGCATTAGAAATGCTTAGCATAAGAAATGCTTAAGACAAACGTTTTTAATTTAATGCTTTTTTTCCTGAATTTATCTCTGTCACACAATACAATTCATAATAAAAAGATTTATAAACTGTCTACTATTTTGGGGTCCTTTTGCAAAGTATCTCAAAATTAATGTACATCTAAATTCATTCATTTGGTTAAAACAATAATGGTGAAAACCCACTAATGAGTAGGAAAGACAGCATGTTAACAATACATTTTATCACAGTTTCTATGGTTACAGATGACAAATCACATCATTTCTTTTTGAGGTATTTACAGTGGTTTTATTATCATGAAGAACTAATGTAAGCAAGCAATAATAACTTTAGTACTATACCTAAAGTATTGGCATAGGTGTCAGCGATCCAGCCCATTTCTCTCTCCCCTGTACCCATGTCAGGTGCTGGCACATCAATACCTGGCCCTGTAATATACATAATTTACATGACTGTATAACATTTGCCACAGCTCTCACAATTCACTAAATGTAAACATAGTACATGAAGATGGAGAAAAGAAGATGTTGAAAAAAATAGTAGCAGGATTTAAGGGATGTTAAAAGTATAATAGACAAATCCAAAATACTCAAAAAAGGAAAATAGACGAATCCAAAATACTCAAAAAAAGATATTAGACAAATCCAAAATACTCAAAAAGGATAATAGACTAAGAAGCTTTAAAAGTTGGAGGAAGTTCCTTGCGTGGATCATTTCTCATTACCTCATGGAAACAATGTTTCACCCCAAGACCTACACACAGAACAGGCTTAGGGTGCTCATTAGTGATTTCCTATATGCTCCCTCCTAGCTTTCTACAGCAAACCTTTTATCTACCTCATAAACAGTACCGGGTATCTATTAATTGGTCAGTACCAACAATTACAGCATTTACAGTAATAATACTGTCCAAATATTTTAAGAAAACTATTGGTGAGCAACGTTTTAGAGGGAAACATGTTTATTCATATAAAATAGAATCATGGTCTGAATGCAAGTGTTATATTGCTTGTAAATTGTACATAATATATTTAATGAATGTTGTACAACTAAAAACTACCATCTGTTGAGGCCTTAATTAATTACCAATCTGTCATACTCATTACCAACATTAGAATGTTATACACAAACATACTGTAATGAAACATTCCGTTACAACTGATCCATACTAAATTGGTAATTAATTCTGTGGATTCATTTTGTTTGAAAAGAAGCTGGATCATTTCTTGAGATAGGAAGGTACATACTTGTATAATTACCAGTCTGAAAGGTTTGTGAAATAAATAACAAAATATAAAAGGGTAGACCTTTACACAATGCAGGTTTAATTAACAATAAGAGTCCCACAAGTTAAAAATGTCTAGTACTTACAAGTTAAAATCTGAGTAATGCATGTTCTGGTTTTTTTGTGTGTTTTTTTTTTGTTATAATTGCTGTTAAACTAACTATTCCACAAAAGTTGTTATACATGTAACTGTATATCTTAATATTAATTCTGGCATGTTATTAGAATAAGACCAGATATTTATGCTCTCTATAGTGCAATCTAACTTATTTCTACAATAGTAGCACTTGACCTTGAAATATCTCAATTTTGAATAAACATTTTTAATTTCAATATCTTTACAGTTATGGCTTACTACAGAGAGTTCAAAATTAATCTCGAAAATTCAGAAAGGGAAAGTTTATAGTTAAGCTTATAGGCTATTTATTTATAGCAGATCATTATATGTCACTTACAATGAAAATCTGTACTGTAAACCCCTTACATAATGCATAAAAAACATAAATCTTGTACTGACATTTCAACACTTAATGACTCAGTGGATATCTATTTTTCAATTTATACCAACAATCTTAATCAGAATGTACACTCGTGAATTTATTGGAATGGGGGGGGGGGGGGGTGGTGGTGATGGGAAAGGACAAAGAATGAAATAAAAGATCACTTAATGAAACAGCACCCTGTTTCAGATTTAAGCTTGGCAATTACAATGTAACTTTATGTTTTCATTAAAAATGCATATTATAAGAAAGACTATAATGCCCAAATTTATTACTATACATTACAAACAACTTATTTAATGTAAATATATAAATGCCCAAATATATTATATAACTAGAAATGTGTCATCATGCCACGGATGCCCCCAGCCAAAATTTCAAATGTTATAATATTTAGTTCCAAATTTGTTTGCACAAATTTTTTGATTCTAAGTTCAAAGCCCTTAAAACTTTTCAATGTTAACACAAACCATTTTTATACAATGTTCAAGGCACTGAAATTATTCAGTCTTAACCTTTTAAAAATAGCATATTGCATATTTGTAGCCAACATAATGGCTATATACAATTCCACAAAGTATGAGTGCTGAAACTGAAAGTTCAAAATTTTTCCAACATTCAGGAAAGATAAGTTTGTCTAAAATCATTGAACCACGACCAAATTCAAACTTAAAGTGCTTATTCCTAAGATGTATCTATATTATTTTCAAAGTGAAAGGGACATAACTCTGCCAAAAAAATCATCGAACCATGACCAAATTCCAACTTGACCTGCGCATTCCTTTGACATATTCATATGTCAATTTTGAGTTGAATATGTAACACTGTTGGGTTGATAATGAACAGAAACTGTAAATTTCATTTTCAAAGTGAAAGGGGCATTACTCTGCCAAAAATCATTGAACCATGACCAGATTCGAACTTGGTCTGCGCATTCCAAAAACATATCCATATGTCAAATTTGAGTTGAATGTGTAATATTGTTGGGGAGATAATAAACGGAAACTGAAAATTTCATATTATTTTTAAAGTGAAAGGGGCATAACTCTGCCAAAAATCATCGAACCATGACCAAATTTGAAATTGACCTGCGCATTCCTTTGACGTATCAATATGTCAAATTTGAGTTGAATGTTTAATACTGTTGGGGAGATAATAAACAGAAACTGAAAATTTCATATTATTTTCAAAGTAAAAGGGGCATAACTCTGCCAAAAATCATCGAACCATGACCAAATTTGAACTTGACCTGCGCATTCCTTTGACATATCCATATGTCAAGTTTAAGTTGAATGTGTTGTACCATTGGGGAGTTAATGAACGGAAACTGAAAATTTCATATTATTTTCAAAGTAAAAGGGGCATAACTCTGCCAAAAATCATCGAACCATGACCAAATTTGAAATTGACCTGCGCATTCCTTTGACGTATCAATATGTCAAATTTGAGTTGAATGTTTAATACTGTTGGGGAGATAATAAACAGAAACTGAAAATTTCATATTATTTTCAAAGTAAAAGGGGCATAACTCTGCCAAAAATCATCGAACCATGACCAAATTTGAACTTGACCTGCGCATTCCTTTGACATATCCATATGTCAAGTTTGAGTTGAATGTGTTGTACCATTGGGGAGTTAATGAACGGAAACTGAAATTTTCATATTATTTTCAAAGTAAAAGGGGCATAACTCTGCCAAAAATCATCGAACCATGACCAAATTTGAACTTGACCTGTATTTTCTCATGACATATCAATATGTCAAGTTTGAGTTGAATGTGTTGTACCGTTGGGGAGATAATGAACGGAAACTGAAAATTTTATATTATTTTCAAAGTAAAAGGGGCATAACTCTGCCAAAAATCATCGAACCATGACCAATTTCGAACTTGACCTGTATTTTCTCATGACATATCCATATGTCAATTTTGAATTGAATGTTTTGAACCGTTTGGGAGATAATGAACGGAAACTGAAAATTTCATATTATTTTCAATGTAAAAGGGGCATAACTCTGCCAAAAATCATCGAACCATGACCAATTTCGAACTTGACCTGTATTTTCTCATGACATATCCATATGTCAAATTTGAGTTCAATATGTGCAAGGGTTATTAAGATAATGAACGGAAACTGATGATGACGGAAGGACGGAAGGACGGAATGACAGAATGACGGAATGACGGAATGACGGAACAGGGTAACACTATATGCCCCTGCCATTATATGGCGGGGGCAAATAAGAACATTTTCTCACTGTAAAAGTAACGCCCAAATTTATATTAACACATCAGGGATGTGTTACACACAAATTTATTACAACACTAAATCTACTTGTCTTTTTCTAGGGAGCCTGACTAGCTCTGTTTCCTGAATTCTGGATTGATGATTAAAGGGACTGGGGCTCTACCCACATCAGAACATCTGTGTATATTGTTTAAAGGATTTGTTGAATATAAATTCATTTTTTGAAAGCAGGGATTCCTTTGAGACCATTTATTTGAAAACAAGTTATATTTTCTTTGTTTGGTCTGCCTCCTTTTCTTTTTCTAAACATTAAATTTTACATCCTACAAGAAACAGTAGAAGTCTTACACTAATACAGTCATAACTATTCAGTTAGTACAAAAATATCCTGTTTGCTGTACTTTTATTTATCTAGAACAGGGGGAGCCCTTACCACATCCTGTATTTATTTCTTAAAATCAAATCAAAGATGAACAGGACTAACTAAGTACATGGTATATATTTGTCATATCCAAGGACCCCATACCAAGTTTATGTAAAGCAGGTTTTACATTTTCCCACCATTCCAAAGCAACTATATTATTAATAATACACTTTATGAGTACTGCACTCTTACAAAAGATGTGAAACTAATTTATTCCTTTTGAAGTTAATGATTAAGAATTTTATGTGGCTATATAAAGGTGATAAACACTTAAAATGAATTTGCAATATAGTAAGTGCTGACTGCACATAAACATGAACTTATTGCTAAAGTACAAAACTAGTCAATAAACACTAATTTGAACAAATCTGAGACTGACATACTGACATTTGATGTATCTATAAACTGCTTACTCTTGATGACAATATTAAGGTTATATAATGTTGACTTTCAAGCTTTATTGGTGGGAGGAAGACCTTAAATGCCCTTATGTGCATAATTGATGCTAAATGTTACTGCACCTGGCCTGGTATTTAAGATTCTTTGTATTTTTAAGTAGTAAGCGGATTAGATAGACCTTTGTTACATGGACTAAGTTTTTTTTCCAGTTCAGTTAGGACAAATGACATCATTTCAAGCCTTACTAGAAAAGGAAGACCAAAAATATACTACTCATTATTTTAGGCATGAAGGGGGGACTCATTGGTAGAACCACTAATACAACTCAAACCTACAACTATGTGGGGCTAATGATATGCAGGCAAGTTGCAACTACCCTAACCAATAGGTAAACAAATGCCTTGCATATTAAATACATGAAGTGATCAAGTCTACTTTCCTTAGGCGTGATACTGAGCTTGATGCTTCTCTAGTATGTGGTTTACAGTGCTGCTCTACAAACAATCATGACTTATAATGAAACCGACTAATGAAGTATGGACACTATAGGCATATCAATCTACTAGGAGTATGGATTGTTTTTGTACACAAATGTGAACTGACCCAGCAAAGCAAATAATCTTATCATCAATTTCTCAAAATAGAAGCTTAAGTTACACCACATATTCTGCAATACATTTACTCTATTCTCAATTAGAACATTCACTTTTTTTTTTAATACATCTTGTATTGTAACATTTATTATGCTCAATCACTTTCCCTAGCATAGGCTTTTTAATAAGATTAAGAGTCTTATTATTGTGAAACTTAATACAGAAAACAGGTCTATCTTTCCCACTGCCAGCAGTGGTTGAACAGAACGAAAAATCTTTCCGACTGCCAATTTCTACTTGTTCACTACTGTAAAACTTTATCAATACAAGAAATGGTAATTTGAGCCGCGTCACGACAAAACCAACATAGTGGGTTTGCGACCAGCATGGATCCAGACCAGCCAGCGCATTCGTGCAGTCTGATCAGGATCCATGCTGTTTGCTATCAGTTTCTGTACTTGTAATAGGGTTTGTAAGCGAACAGCATGGATCCTGATCAGACTGCGCGGATGCGCAGGCTGGTCTGGATCCATGCTGGTCGTAAACGCATTACGTTGGTTTTGTCATGACGCGGCTCATTTAACTTCAACATTTCTTTTTTTTACATCGTAAAACTAAAACTTCCAACATCAATGAGATGCTAAATTACTGTGCTGCAGGCACGAATATAATAAAAACCTACGCACTTTTAAGCAGCAATAATTTGTAGTGCTATGTTGCCATGCATTACATCATATTATCTATGTTAATGTTGCATGTGAACACCTTTACAATGCAACTGTCTGTTTCACACAGTGAGGAAACAAACAAACAAATCTCATCGCCAGTATTACTGTCATTTTGCATACATCAAAATTAACTTCCATGACATGGTTGCCTACTGATGCAATTCACTAAGATGTATTATTTTCACTTATAACCCTTATGTTATATACGCTCGTGACGTTCTTTAAACATTTCTTACTTAACAGTATCTTTTCCCACAAAAAAAACCCTTACACCCCTTTAATTGTGCCTTCCTGACAAGTTTAAAAACAGTTGCATGACATGATCATCCCTTCCAAAATATATATTTTTTGCAACATAGCCTAACAATTAAATAAATGGAAAAATGGAAAACAAGAGATGTACAAGGGGCAATGCACTCAACTTTGCTCAATGCTATATAGTAACCTTAACCTTTGACCTGACTGGTGTGACAGATGCATTCATATACAAATGAATTGACTTTCAAAGCTTTTGCAACAGCTTTGTTAGCATTGATGACTATCAATAGAACAAAAACTTGACCAAATGACCAAATAAGTTAAACGGAAAGTGTAACCAAAAAGGTTAACCAGCGCTAATATTGCAAAGTGGGTCATGACAAAAGCTCTGCTTTTTGAAATTTTCGAAGTTAAAATGGAGCTTAGTAAAGTCCAAAACCAGCATCATGTTTAGTTGTGGACAATATCATACCTATAAATCCTTTCTTTGAGAGTTCAACTGTCAATCTACGTGTGATTTTCTCCAGTTCATTCTCAGAGTAAGTTTTCGCGTCAATCTTGACGCCTGCCTTAGCTCCACCGAAAGGTACGTCCACAACGGCACATTTATATGTCATCAACTGAGCCAAAGCTTTCACTTCATCATCATTTACATCTAAACTGTATCTTATACCTGAAATACATAATAAACTCTTGACAATTAATCTTAAGAAAAAAATACAAAGCACCTTTACATACCTCTCAATTTTGATAAAGGGAATCTAAGTGCAGCAGCTCTCAATTTTTATCTCCAGAAAAATACACTTCTTTTTTACGCAACTCTCAAGAGAAAAATACAATCAACATTCACACAGATCTAACTTTTAATATAGGGATTCTCAATTTTTTATCTGGAGAAAAATAGAATTTTCTTTTTATGCAGGTTTTCAACTTTTTATCTTCAGAAAAATAAAAAACCAACCTTTATGCAGCTCTCCATTTTAATAAAGTGTAAAATATAAATCATTCTTAATCATTGCAGCAGCTCTCATTTACGACCAGACTATCTTTCAAAATCAAGTTTCTATTTATAAGTTACCTTATTCTAAATTATGATACTCATGCCGGATTTTATTTCTAAACTTAAGTTGTTATCAATGGAAAATACAGTTTTATTGTATAATATCATCAGGATGTATGATGAAATTTTTTATTAATACTCTTAAAATAGCTTTCTGCTCGAGAGTTCTTTTGAACTTTTTAACTAAAATTGTCCAAAAACAAATATTTGCTTGTTATATAATAAAGTAAACAAGAAGACAAAATACTTGCAAGTTATAACATTACCTGATCTATGTAATAATATATTCTTTTTTTTTCACTACATTTCTTTACCTCTGGTATTATGAATGCTAAATATAACGCATTCTTGTTGGGCAAAAAACAGAATTGAGCTAGAAGCAACAGATGTTTTTTAGGTGGGCTGAAAAAATCCTATTTTCTGTATAAACAAATAACAACAAAAAGTCAATAGCTTTTATCACCAGTAGAGAGCCAGTGAAGCCTGCACTTTTAGTGCCTGGTCTACTTGTATATTGTTGATAAACTACAATGTATAATTATAGTCCCTTAAAATTTGAATAGACTGTTCGAATTTCAAATCAGTTAAAATTCATTACTTGAAATACAGCAGGTTAAGTGTTAAAAAATGGGATAGAGTATGCATGAAGCTCAGAAAACTAATATCATGTGCTGTGCCCTTATTTCCATTCATGCTAAACTTAAAGGGTCATTTACCTGTGGCCTTTATCTAGGCCAACAAATCTTTAACAACATAATTATTCACTGAACAACAGTCACTAATTTTAGAAAACTTGGTTACACCTCACATGAATTGTAAACAGTACTTAACCCAATTATCCCAATTTATCAAAAACAATGATAAATTCTATTTTTCCATCTACTTAAACAGGTATGTAAATTGAAAGAAACAGATGTTTATTAATAGCTTATAAAATATTTTGCATCATGAATTGATGCATTTTATAGTAGATATAATATGTGTGTATTCCAGATACTTTTCTTTATTTCTTTTTCTTTTGAAATGTTTCAGATCCATTCAAATTCAAATATGAGCAGATGTAGTCAGTAGATGACACAGACTTGTATTTTTAACCAGCCACTGAACAAACAGGGCATTTTAAAACATAAATGATCATCAAGCTGGTAATGAATAAATTAGCAAAATACCCCCTTGTCTAGACCCTGGCCCAGTAACAAAATGCTAATTAGATCCCTGAAACCCAAGGGTGAGATATGAAGTGTTAAAGAAGGCTACTTGTTTCTAAATTCTAATATGTACACACTTGCCCCCTCCCTCCCAACTTCCAAGAAATTATAATTAATAAAATCAGGGAACATAACATTAATAATTTAAGTTATTAATAATATATTACTGATAGTAACTTTACTAAAATAGTTACTTATATAATATCATACTAAATCATAGTAATTCATTTAATAGTAAATACTATACCAAATCATAGTTATTCATATAATACTATACTATTAATTTTATAAAAGCAACAAATATAAAGGACAAAGTGGGTAAAGCTGAGATTAACTATACACCTAAAAGGTAAAAGCCTTTATTTTCATAACGTCAGCAGTTTATTCCCCATACAACCAGATTTAACCAGATTGTTTTACTGTTTAACTGCCCTTTGAAAAGGTCATTAAAAACATGGCATTTATGCACATTTTTCTGATTGAAATTTAATTTTCTTCTGTGTTATTAGGACTCTGGTGGTTAAGACTTGAAACTGTTATAAAATCATCAAAGCTTCTAAATTACAATACTGTTAAATTTTATAGTTTTTAACATCCCTATTACAACATTTTTAAACCAATCCTAAATACATGTCAGTAAAGGAATTCAATGTGTAGCACTTTAATTTTTCAACAACAAAAATGCATGGTAATTTCTTTTTTTGTGACTGTGTTACAAATAAAATTTAGCTTCTGAGTTTAAATAACTGAGCTGATCAGTGAGGTATTGTTAACAGAGACCTTAAATGTGGTCTAGATAAAGGACAGACCTGTTTACATACATGTATAGTTTGATGAGTATTTTTTTTAATGAATAAACCTAGAACATTGGTCAAAAGGTGACAGACTGCATAATTACGTATAATTGATAGAAATTTTGTTTTCTCCTGTCTTATTTTTAATTTTTAAATAAATTTCGTATGAATATAGGTACTTTTTCTGTTACATTCGTGATTATAGTAAATAATTTATTTTGAGGGCTTTAGGCACTTCACTGGTATAACTACATATTTTACATTATTAACTTATGAAAGTGTTGACACAAGACATTACATTTATCTGACAAACAAAAAACTTTTTTAAAAATCATGTGATCTGCTAAATCAATAACAAGAACATGTCCTGCTTTGTAATTGGAATAATCCAATAGCAATTTTAGTGATTTCAGGATCAAAGCACTGAAATTGACTTTGAGCATCCTAAAGAATAAGGTTACAGGTCAGATTATACCATAGATGTGAATCTTGAAAGGTCTGCGTCCCTAACCCTTTACCTGCTGGAACCAAAAGGGGCAAGTTAACCTTTGCTCTCAGAATAGCTGAAAGCCAGGCCAGCTTGCACTCAATTCTTGGAATTTTGATATAAAAACCCATAAAGATTTGAATGAACTATTCCAAATTTCAAAACAGGGCAACTCCATACAAATTCAGCAGGTTAAGCCCTCATTGGCATAGCAGGTCTTCTATCATCACCATGTAACACTCAAACATATAACATTTTTGTATTTTAATCTAAGTTTTGCTATCAGTTCATTGTAATACTAATAGAATTTAAACATTCTAAATTTTAATATAATATCTTAAGCCAACAAGATCATTTATATTTGTGTTTGACTGCTTGCCAATATTTTTCTTTTTGTATTTATAATCTCTATTGATTGTGACTTTTTAATCTGTTTTACCAATTGTGACATTGTCAGCAAACAAGTTTCACTACCACTTCTTTCAACCCGAATGATGCAACATAACATCATCCGGTATGATTGAATAGTTAGTTGTTTACATCCAATAGTGACATCTGTTTGCACTTTGATAAGAAAAAATTCAGACCATTCCTTTAAATTTCTTGTTTGTTGTGGTTGGTTAGATGATCAATTTTTCCCTCCATTCACCTCTGATTTAACTAGACAGGTGTCAGTCTATTACAAAACTTATGATCAGATGAAGTTTATACTTAAAACATGCAGTTTTCCTAACAAAATTTAACTTTCACAGGGTCTGCATTTTTACTTCCCAAATTGGCAATTTAAACGATATTCATCATACTTCTATCAAGGCCTCTTCCTAATTTAATTGTACATTTCCCATCCATAAAATAACAAAATATCTCAACTTAGGTTTGACTTTTATGGCCAAAACATAAAAATAGTGATAAAAATGTTAAATAATGTTTAAACTCTTGTAAGATTCACATGGTTAGTGATAAGTGGGTTAACTAACACCAGTTATCTACAACTATTATCATCTTTTCCAATTTTGTTTTAAATTAATGTACACTGAATTTGTACTTTTTAATAAAATTTATATGTGTTATGTTTTTCATTTTTTTGTTTTTTTTTTAGATGTACCAATTTTCAAGTATTTATCTGCTTTGTTACATTTTAATCTAGAATATTTAAGGTGAATAAACTAAGAACTTTGGAAAATCATGTATATGTATTCAAAACCAGGGCTTCCCTTAATGGAAGTTTGGAAGTCATTTACTTGTGACTTCCAAAATCTAATACTTTTCCTTCTTTACCTATATAATGTGACTTCCCAGTCTCTGACTTCCAAATTTTGAAACTTAATAGAAGTTAGAACCGCAAACTTCAACTTTGTTGCCATACGATACACCTGCCGGGAATTATTTAACAGATCATTTAGCCCAATATCCTTGAAAAATAGTGCGGAATGGATTTGATCTTTTTGACAAAATTTCTTTTTGTTTCATCCTATATCGAGGTGTATCGTATGGCAACAAAGTTGAAGTTTGCGGTTCTATTAAGTTTCAAAATTTGGAAGTCAGAGACTGGGAAGTCACATTATATAATAGTTTTTAATAACATACTGGACACACGAAATGTGCTGGTTTCTATAAATTCTAGCTTGTGTCCAGTATGTTATTAAAAACTATTCAAGAGATGTATTAACCATAACTTAGATACCAGTGACAACCCACATAACTTTTATCAGTTATCAACTTCCCTATATGTTTAATATGATAACAGAGTCTGTACAGATGCTTACCCATGCTAACAATTTACAATACAGGCTTGCTGTCAGCCTGTCACTACCAGAAACATATAATTGAATCCTTTAAGCTTCTCGTTATGAAAGAATATTTATGAAAACATAAAATTGAATATACCTCCTTTACAAGGTGTCCTGTGTTGACTATGCTGGGCCCGCCAGGCTTCTATGATTTCAACTTCACCATTATCACGTCTGATTGGAAATGAAAACTTCACTAAGTGGTTGACAGGCTTTATCATTTTCAAAATGTTTTTCACTTTCAGCTGCTTTTCTTCTCGAGTCTGTTTCTTGCCAGGTAAATCATCAGCCAGCTTGTCCATTACCAGACTGGCGGCCTTGTCAAAGAAATAATCGACAGTTGCTGAAAATCCCAACTCATCTTTGTTTTCAGTTGACATGGACCTGACATTTACGCTGGTCAAATACAAAGATTTTGTTAGATTATCCTGCGCAACAGTCTTATGTGCATTTCGCACAACCTCCGATGAAAGACGTCGCAGCATTTTGTTATCCTCTTTCTCTCAACTTAAAAACAAACACACTAAAATAACAAAATCTCCTCTTCGAACTTGCGACCTTGTGTTTCAGTTTCGGTCACGGAGGTGTGTAGCACACGTGGTGTTATCAAACCAATAAGAAAGGTCGTTCTTTAATCAGATGTTTCGATGACGTCACAATAGTATGTTTGCGTTAGTGGGTCAATTTAGGTAGTAAACCACTAATATACATAGTGAAGCACGGTAATATGTCACTATACGTACATCACGGATTTATATGCGTGTTTTATACATGTACAAGAAATAACGATAAATCATGGAGAGTTAAATTCTGCCTTAAAAAACAACAAAAACAAACAATATCATCTTTGATAGCAAATATCAAAGCATTGATGATGTTTGTTTTATACAGTTTTATAATTTTTTAAGTTTAACATTTAACATGTGCATGTTCAAAGTTTGCGCTCCAAGCTATATATACTGGTAGGCCCGCCTTTTGTATGCTTTACTGTAGTGTTTACATGCTTAACAGTATTACTCCGCTAATTTATGTATATGGATATATGAAATAAAAATGGAAGAATTACGCATAGAAACAATAGAAATGCATACAGGAGGTGAACCATTGAGGATCGTGACGTCGGGCTTGCATGAAGTACAGGGTGAAACACTGCTAGACAAGAGAAGGTATATAAAGGATAATTTAGACTATGTGAGGAAAATGATCATATTTGAACCACGTGGCCATTATGACATGTACGGCGTGTATTTAGTGGAACCCGACGCGGAAGGAGCTGATATAGGATGCATATTTATTCACAATGAAGGTTACAGTACTATGTGTGGCCATGCTGTAATTTCATTAGGTAGATATGCGATTGATCATGGCATTATACAGAAACCTATATCTCCAGAGACCAGGATTGTAATGCAATGTCCATGTGGGCCAGTGGAAGCCTTCGTCCAATACGAAAATGGAAAAACGGGGGCTGTTCGTTTTAACAGCGTTCCTGCTTTCTTGTTTAAAAAAGGTTTGACTTGATACCCCATTTATATTTAATTAATACACGTGATGATTGTAATTTGTAAATTAAGAGCACCAAAATTAGCTTAATAAATTATCAGTTAACGAAACTCTTTTTCGGTCCGTTCAGCTTTTGCACGTGAAACCGACGATCACGCGTGGCGCCATATATCAGCCTTAGCTAATTTCCATTATAAATATATAGTGGCTTAAAAATAGTTATTCGGTACTTGAATTTAAATTTGATAGATTAGTTTTGATGATTACAAATTAAACGCAAACAAAAATAATTAAATATATAATAGCCTGCGTGATATAGATGTTGGTATTTCTTGATCTAATATAGGATTCCACGAGCATCATGCTGATATCTATCCAATATATACTTGTGACGTTGTCGTTTTCTTCTTATTCACAGATTATGAAGTTAATGTCCCCGGCTATGGCAGTATCACAGTAGACATCAGTTACGGGGGTGCATTCTATGCTTTAGTACCAGCTGAACGATTAGGACTTGATATGTCCAAATCCTCCGCAGACGAATTACGTAATGCTGCAGGCAAAGTGACAGGTGAGACTTAACTTGTTTTCTGGAATTTAGCTTTGCGATTTATGCAATAAAAAAATCACCATTGAAGATAGGTTATCGACTAGTTATTAGAAAGTTTTATATTTAACAATGCACCCGATCGCTTCAGCCTTATACGGAAATACATGTATAAGGCATGAAACAGTATACGCTCTAACATTTTAACTCGATAAACACAAGATAAATTCTTCTGAAGATTATTTTATTGAAATTATTTCAATGTGACTTGTGTTCTATTTTTCAGAGGCTCTGAAGGGCGTCTTACAGTTGACTCATCCGATTAATGCCGACTTAGCATTTCTTTATGGCACAATCCTTACAGATGGTAAAGATGAATATAGTGAAGAAGAAAGTCAAAATATGTGTGTTTTTGCAGATAAGGAGGTAAATTATTAGTGTTTACGGAAGAAGAAATGTGTTTAATGACTCACTGTGATAAGGATCTTTCAAATAGAAATGTGCCTGCCATTTTTGTACATGGCATTATTCAATAATTTACCAAACAGCTAAGAGGATCTAAAACATTTTATATCATTTTTAAGCTTTTTGTTAACTGGGGGTATGAAAATATTATATTCAAATCTTGGGCTATTCAGATATTTTCTTTAATCCATACCTGGTTTATGTTAATTTAAATTTACATTGATTTTGGTGTAAATACTTCATGGTTACAGCGATCATTCATCTATTTACAAAACTGTAGTTCAATACATTTTCACACAATCGAATTTAATTCTTGATATACAAATCACACAAGTATAGGATGTATTGTCAAAAGAATTAAACCAGGATAGATTTCATCAAATATGCTAAATTTTGTGACTTCAATCTATATATTCTTTTCAGGTTGATAGATCCCCTTGCGGTTCGGGGGTCACATCCCGTATTGCACAGCAGTTTACTCGCGGGCTGATTCAAGTGGACCAGAAGCGTACATTTAGGGGACCTACAGGTTCAAAATTTGTCGCAAAGGCCGTCAAACAAGTAAAATTTGGCCCATACGATGCCGTAGTAGTCGAAGTTTCCGGAAAGGGACATTACACGGGATCAAGCGTCTTCACTCTAGAAGCAGACGACAAAATAGGAAGAGGATTTTTGTTGAAATAAAGCTTTGAAAAGCAATATATTCATTTTCTAGCTTCATTACAGTAACAAGTAATTGTGTCTTTGTCCTTTACACTCACTCATTGTTAATCATCTGGTCTGAATATCGCCGTACTAATATATGTTAACGTAGTATGGTTACTTTTATGTTTCTGATGCAACACGTCAACCGCAGACGACTGAATAGAACCAAAGTATGATTACCTTTTAACGTCAACCGCAGACGACTGAATAGAACCAAAGTATGATTACTTTTTAAGTTTTACTGGTTTAAGACGTCAAACGCAGACGACTGTATAGAACCAAAGTATGGTTACTTTTTAAGTTTTACTGGTGTAAGACGTCAAACGCAGACGACTGTATAGAACCAAAGTATGATTACTTTTTAAGTTTTACTGGTGTAAGACGTCAAATGCAGACGACTGAATAGAAAACACCTTGAACGGCTAAATTTTTCACATGGAAAAAATCTAAGTATCTGGAGTAACTTTTAAATCCCAACAAGATATGTTTGTAAAACATGTATGCCCCCTATCGGCAGCCAATTTGTCATGTGATCAGGTTATTATGCATGACTTCTGACCCAGTGAACAAGCAATTAATAAGGGTTATCTAGTATCTACTGGTCATGACTAGTCACAAGGTAATAATTATTGTGACCCCATAGGTTGTGTGCAGCAATTAAAGTTATTAAAAATCTTACCAAAAATATATACATAAATTTTATGAATCACATAGGCCTCATTAATGACAGTCAAGTTGTTATATTACATAAGATCTTCAAATGTGTATACCAAAAGCACATAAAAATATCAACCAAGGCAACTTGAGTTGATGAGTTATTGGTCAGAAACGGTCATTAAGTACAAGGTCACTATGACATTGACCCCAAAATCAATAGGGGTCATCTACTGATCATGAACAATCATCATACTAAGTTTAAAGTTCCTAGGCCTAAGTGTTCTTTAGTTATTGATTGGAAACCATTTTTACCTACAAGGTCAATGTAACCTTGACCTTTGACCCCAAATCAATAGGGGTCATCTTCTGGTCATGAACTTCATCATACCAAGTTTGAAATTCCTAGGACTAAGCGTTCTTTAGTTATTGATTAGAAACTGTTTTTACCTACAAGGTCAATGTGACCTTGACCTTTGACCCCTTGACCCAGATATCAATAGGGGTCATCTGCTGGTCATGACCAATCATCTTACCAGGTTTGAAGTTCCTAGGCTTAAGCATTCTTTAATTATTGATCGGAAACAGTTTTTACCTAAAAGGTCAATGTGACCTTGACCTTTGACCCCTTGACCCCAAAATCAATAGGGGTCATCTGCTGGTCATGACCAATCACCATACCAAGTTTGAAGTTCCTAGGCCTGAGGGTTCTTTACTTATTGATCGGAAACTGTTTTTACCTACAAGGTCAATGTGACCTTGACCTTTGACCCCAAAATCAATAGGGGTCATCTGCTGGTCATGACCAATCACCATATCAAGTTTGAAGATCCTAGGCCTAAGCGTTCATAAGTTATTGATCGGAAACCGTTTTAACATACAAGGTCAATGTGACCTTGACCTTTGACCCCTTGACCTCAAAATCAATAGGGGTCATCTACTGGTCATGACCAATCACCATACCAAGTTTGAAGTTCCTAGGCCTAAGGGTTCTTTAGTTATCACTCGGAAACCATTTGGTCTACGGACCGGACGGACCGACGGACGGGACGGACCGACAAGTGCAAAGCAATATACCCCCTCTTCTTCGAAGTGGGGGCATAATAACTTGTATCAAACTGTTTTTTGGCCCTTTGGACAGGTGAATTTAAATCTTTCAAGTCCTCTGGCAATAATAAAATAAGTCTATTCTACAACAGAGGTTTATTTCCACTGGTTTACAATTGTTTCAGGTTTTGAAAACACTGAATAAAATAATTATATACAAACATTTTTAAACAACACTTGTAACTTAACAAAGTTTTTGCATTCAATTCTAAATTTGTCCGATAATTGCAACAAAATTTTTAAAACAAAAACTGAACTACTTAAAGGTCCATAATGCCTCAGAAATGCTTTTTTTAATTTCTCAAAAGTTTTTTTTTATATATTTTGGTGGCTTTATATGTTTATTTTTGGTAGCCTGTTATAATTTCCAAAATGTCAATCCTTTGACAATTACCTGAACCATCTTTTACTTCTGTTGCTTATGGCAATTAATATATAGTGATTTAGTATTTAATATGGAAGTCAAAATACTGCTTTCTTTACATTTTGCTACTATTATGACAAATATTTTCACATTCAGAGCTACTTTCTTTAGGTCACACAACATGCTTTACAGCCATTACCTAAAGGTTATAAAAGTGATGTTTGCCCATTCTAAAAAATATATATCTTCGTATCTGAGGCATAATATACCTTTCAAAAATGAATTATCGATTGGAGAATTAATTTCACAATATCAGCAAAATATTTTAATTTTGGATGAAACATCTAAATTAGCTCTACCCCTTTTTTCAAAAGGCACAAAAAACAAGAACTGAACTACTTTAAGGTCCAATATGCCTAAGAAATGCTCTTTTTTTTATTTATCAAAAGCTTTTTATTTTTGGTGGGCTGTTATAATTCATTGGGCAATTACCTAAGCAATATTTCACTTCTGCTGCTTAGGGCAATTAATATAGTTAGAGAGATTTACTACTTTAACATTTTGCCACTTTTATGACAAATTATTTCACATTCACAGCTACTTTCTTCAAGTGATAAGCATGTAACATTCTCAAAAACCAGCATTTAAAGGTTATAAAAGTGAAGTTTGCCCGTTGTAAAGAGGAATTTTATTATTCATTTCTGGGGCATAATGTACCTTCAAAAAACAAAGCATTGATTGGAGAATTGATTTCACAATATCAGCAAAAGATTTTAATTTTGGAGGAAACATCTAAATTAGGTCCACCCTTTTTTTCAAAATGTCAAAAATTAATTGAAACACAAAAATCAAATTGTCCCCTATAAGCATGTACAATCAGGCCCTGAAAATGATTTATTTACATAAGAACTACATAAAATGACATGGAGTACAGGGCATGATGTTCAAATAAAAATTGTGACTGGTACCTAAATGAACTTTTTATCATAATTTGTGACAAAATAAAATTAATTATGTAATTTCTTCATCTGTGTAGTAATATATTTTTACTTAATGCTTTATTTAATATTGGATTCATTTTGTAATATAAAAGCAGCATAAATGCTATTCTTTTCAACAAATTTAATACTGACATGATAACCATGTGACCTACTTTATATCATGTTACCAAGTGTAAATGGGTATTCAATAGTGTTTTAAAGCCAACTGAATCTATGACAAAATTTGCATATACATATATTCATTTAATCAAAGAGTTTTGTCAGTCTTTCAAAAATATCTTCTTACCCTGTTTTAATGATATTAATTTTTTTTAATTGATTAAAGCAGCATGCCTCCAGATTTTAGGATTTTTTTTAAATGTATTTGAGAATAAAATATTGTGAAGTGAACTAACAAAGTAAGTTATGCATTGCAATTACACTTACAATCACGTAAATTACCAGAAACACGTCTAAAAATGCAGAGAAGCCCTTACTGCATTAATCATGCGATAGAACGTTAGTCATGCAGTTGAAATATTGATTCATAAATTCATATTCATAAATACCTCAAAAAACATTTTTCTCAAGTTTGATTTTCTTGAAATATTATTAGCTCATTTGGAGGCATGCAGCTTTAAGTACCAAAACCTATTTCTAGCACTTACTATTGTTGCAATCTTTTATCAAATGCAAGTTTCGTTGAGGTAAACTTTCTTAGCATTACAGCAGTGATAAGATTAATGATGAATGTTTAAAATGACAACACTTCCAAATTTCAATTTTAGCTCTTATAACAAAAATCTTTGTATTAACCGATCAACTTTATATAGTTGTGCCTTTGGAGCTGTGTCTGATCAACTGTCTGTTTACAGTACTATCGCCAAGGAACGTTAATTATCTAACAAAAATGAAATTAAAAGAATGTATTTCATAAAACCAGTGGTTTTTTATTCAAGAAAAAAAAGAAGAGAAAAATCTAATAGTAATGGAGATACTGTTTTGATATGGTCATCAAATATTCAACAAATCAAAAACAAATTAAAATGTGCATGCAAGCACAAAATAACTCAATTATAAATGAATTCAAGGCAAAATTGGTTTATTTCAACATTACACTTTTAGGACCGTCACTTCAACAAATAAATTTAAAAAAAAAATATTGATATTGAAAGAAAGTAACTCAAGTATGTCAGCAAAAATGACAAAACAATAACACTAAAGTGATAAACATGTTTCCTACCCAATTTTCTTTCTTTCTGTATTTGCCACAAATTCAGCACAAATTACTCGTTTCATTTCGATGCAGAGAAAAAGATTTGCTGTCAAAATGGCAACATCTGTTTTATTCATTTCACATAAATTACCACGCAGTTCATATTAAATGATTGACTATGAACAAGTAAAACTGACATATCAGTGAAACTTATAAACAATCAAGATGAGATTTACGAAATCGCCTAAATTATTGTCAACGATTTATTAATTGTTCTCCTAATAATCTTCTACTGCAAGAGGAGCCGGGGAATCTTGTTTTGAGCCATTCTCCACACTTGCACTACGTCTCTTCGCTGATTTTGACCTTGACCTCGAGCGAGACTTCCTGCGAGATTTCCTGTGACGAGATCGGCTTCTGGAGCTGCTTCTGTGGCGTCGAGATCTAGACCTAGATCTTGACCTCCTGAAAAATATGTTCATTAATGACTTCTCATATATATCAATAGCATTTAAAAAGTTTTTAGTCAATCAAAGCATCTATGAATATTACAAGCAAAAAGAAAGACATCAAATTTTTCTAACTTCAGTGTTTACAGCAATTTTCGGAATTTCAGCTAAAATGAAAAATTCAGATATGTTGATTAGTTTTCTGATGAAAATCATTAAACATAGACCAAAAACAACCATGTCATTTTGGAAACTAAAATCAAGACAAGACAACATCCACTTTTCAGCTTTTATTTAATAAATTTACTTACCAACTAAACATTTTAAATAAATACCTGCATCTTATAATTTGTTTTACTAGACTTATAAACAATGACAAACCTAGAGCGTTTTCTTGACCTTGACCTAGATTTCCTGCTCCTAGACCTTGACCTCCTTCTTGACTTCTTCCTTGAATGTCTTGACCTTGATCTTGACCGTCTGCAATACAATGATGAGGAGCATAAACATTATTTGTATATTGGCAAACAATTCCTTAAAGCATAAAATTGGTCTTCTCCCCTTGTTCTCACCATGATAATGAGCTGTTAAGCATCAAATAAGCACATTCTAGGTAAAAATCTAATAGATAATGTAATTTTAATTGGTCCTGTATCAGTTGTTTTGTCCTCGTGAAATATTTTGGCTATATTAAAGGAACTTCTACAGAGTCACACTCGCAAAAATTCATGACAAAAGTCAACTGTCTACATTCACTTCAGTTTCTTCTAACAATTTTTGTGAAGTTTTGTCATTCAATATAATATGTGAATAGATGCAACAATGTCACAATAAAACTTTTTAATTTGAATAAACATGATATAGAAAGCAAAGGGTGATGTTTTAGAAGTTACAAGATAATTGACTCAAAAAATTCCACTAATGAAAGTCCTGAATTATTATTTAATTTCAACTCAAATCTATTCAACTACTGCGAATTCACTTATATTCGTGGGCATGAAATTTCGTAGTTTTATCAATACCGGCATTTTCGTGGGTTCTTAAATTCGTGGATTTTCGTTTTCCTGTTAAAACAAATTCAGTAACCTAATGCAAAGTAATCTTAAACCTAACCGCCGAACATTTTTACTTACAACGTGTACATATCTTTACTTGTCACACAGCGCTTGTCAATAAATTTAATCCTTGCCTCTGGGCATATAAACTCTAATATAGCACAGTTACTGCCGATAATTGACTGCAATTAACACATTTATGTGACATGATATGCACCTCCATTGGACACAATGACCCTGTAAATCGCCGGTGCAAACATCGCATAATTTATACGGCACCTGACAGGTTTTAACCAGCGAGTTTAAAAGTTTACACCCTGAATTGGTCTTAACATATCTGACAGTAACTACACGCAACGTCACAGCGACTGTGTGAATTTACATGCATATCAATTACTCTCGGTAAATAACAGGAGTATATGTGAATCTTGTAAAAGTCGGTGGCGTCTTTACAGAATAGCATTCGCACAAGTACAGATTAATGTTCATATAAACTGGATCATTTAAAAACGACAAAAGAATGTACAATAAATCTGTTTTAGCGATCGTATTTTTTATATTTTTGTGTACTTACGACATTAATATCAAATACTTTTTTTTAATTAATAAGAGCAAACTGACAATTTTTATTAGCGATAATTATCGCACTGCCTGGGTTCCCATATTTACTCGATTATGTCAAGTATTCTTGTTCCTAGTAGACTACAACGATCAAGTATGTACATGCGACATTTGTGACAGTAAATTGAGGACATATAATCGAGTTTTCTTTCAAGTTTCTTTAATATTGCAAACGGATTGAATATGTCACTAACCTGATTATCGATCTGTATTTACATCCATTTCACGAAATATCGGCCGGAAAAGAGCCGACGCATGTTTGTAATATATAGAACAGAGACTGGGTAAGATGTATTTGTTGGGATAAAAGTTCGTCGGATCTTGAATTCGTGGATTGACCTACCCACGAAAACCACGAAAATTCGTGCCCCACGAATAATAATGATTTTACAGTATACAAAATTCTGTAAATTGTACACTACAAACCTTGACCTAGATCTTGATCTTCTCCTCCTTGACCTACTACCACTCCGAGATCGTCTACGACTTCTACTACGGCTCCTAGTTCTCCTCCTGTCCTCATCGTCTTTCTTCCTTTCCTCCTCACGTCTTTGTCGCTGTTTTTCTCTCTCCTCACCTCTCTGTCTTATACGGTCCTGATGTGTTGACTAAAATATAAAGTAATTGTCTTGTATAGCCCTCACATATTGCCCAAAATTCAAAATGACTGTCTTTTATGGTCCTTATGTTTAGTCTACAATATAGTATTGTATGTCTTGATTAAAAAATAATTTTTAATTCAAACATTTTGAAATATTTCTTAAAATTGCAAACTTTTTCATTCATTACTGACATAAAGGTTTATCCATGAATGATGACATGTTTTGAAATTTAAAACAGATTACAAATTGCTAAAGACACGCTCAAGACATTAATGTTCTCCTTGTTCAGAAAATTTAAATATTGACAAATATTGACAAACTTTAATGCTTGTGATGTCATTATAGGAAAATGCATATATCTGTTATCAAGGCAATTATCAACTGCTTATAATGTTTACCAGATGTTAAACATACATGGTCGTAAAGTCTTTCTATTAAAAGTCTATAATGTCATGCATTCTATAAAAGCTTGTTTTACACAACTGACAGTAATGTTTTGAAACACAAATGATAAATCATTATCTTCAAGATAGATAATTAATTTCAAGATACCTCGATGTAAAAGATGTAACAAATCTGCTAGCAAAAATCAACAAATAAATATATCTTCCAAATTCTATTTCCATCTAAAACTATGATTTAAACTCACTTTTAAATCTGCGAGTTTGTCTCTGATTGTGATGAAGCCAAGATGAAGTTTACCACCAAAATGGTCAGCTAATCTTCTGTCGTTGTCATGGATACCAAGGTATGCTGAGCAGATCTCACACACCCTCAATTTCTGTTGTTGATAACTAGATGCAGGCATAGAGTTCTTGTACTCTTGCTGCAAACAAAAATGAAAATATTATTTCAAACTTTTTCTCTAAGCAGAGCATGTTAAATCTGATTTATTTCAAGCGAATACAAAACCTGTTTTAAGGCAGAAATATTTTTTGTTCCATCTTTCTATTGCTGCCTGTATTATACAGGCAAAATGCTGATTTTTAAAAGAGATATGTATGTTTAACCTTTTACCCAATGAGCATATTGCGAAAAATGGCCGTTTTCATTGAAAAGCCTCCTGTAACAAGTTCAAACTGCTATGAAACTATGAAAAATGCTTCAATACTGATGAAACTTGGCACAAATGTTGACTACACCATAGCCTCTGTAACAGCATGCTCAATCGTAAATTTCCTGTTACCATGGCAACGGGGGGATGTCTCAAAATTGCCAAAAATCACTATTTTGCATTGTTTTTTTCCATCAAAACTGATTTCAAAGTGCTGCAACTTCTCATTGAATTGAGATAGAGTAAAAGGCTTTTCAGCGTCGGTTACTAGTTACCCGTAGATCGACCTGAGGCCATTTTTAGGCTGTCACATGGGGGGGGGGGGGGGCAAAAAGCCGTCGAAACATGCTTATATGAGGGAAAAGGTAAATTGCAATTGATTAGATATTATTCCTTCACACAGTTATGTATGTTAACCACTACAATATTTAATTGTTTTAAAAAAAAATTTTTCTCTCCTGTCCATATGACCTTAAAGTCTCGATTCTTTGCAGGCCCAATTCTTTTATAATAAATGATGTATAAAATAATTACCTCAGCTAGTGCTTTTTTCTTTTTCAGGTCTTCCACTTCATTCAGAAGCTGCATAGACTCCTCTACTTTACCCTCAGCTCCGCTGGTCTCTGCACGAGCAAGTTTGGTCCCTATCTCCTCCCCTAATCCATGAATTGACTCCGCCTTAAGTAAGAAAAAAAAATCAGATTAAAGTCATTTCTTTTATAATACACCATACATGTTTATTTAAAGCTAGGGGTCTTCCAGATACAGTACAGTTTGTGAAACATCGCACTTGTAACAATTGGTCAAATGCTCATAAGATAGTGATCATGTTATGTTTTTATGATGATCACAAGTATTTCACTTCGTGAGATTTGAAAATAATCCCATTTTGTGACACATGCAGGCTTGTTTACAAGGGGAAACTATTCACAAGTAATGGTTAATGAAGCTTCAAAATTTGTGTAATTTACTTTGGACAGTAAAAGTTTAGTTCAAGCATTATATAGTTCAGATTGACAGTAGAGAAAGCTTGCAGCTTATTTAAAGCACTCTGAAGTCCGCTTCCTGGAACTAACCATTACTAATGCCATATGCCTATCATGGCCCAAGAAGGGTCTGACCACATACATAATCCCTTGGTTATTTGGCAGACATCTTTATGATAGACCACTCCAAGTAAGCAGTCAAAACAACAAAATTATTCATAATCTAATCATGAAACATGTTTTTGAAAATCACAACAATGCGCTTATCAGTCTAATCTAAAACAATAAAGTTTTGACTGCTATTTACTTCCTTCAAACAGGAAATCCCTAGCCGTTACAATAACTTGTTCTAAATTCAGAGCAGGACTAGTCCATTATACAAAATTAGTGAAAACAGCTAAACAGACAGTCATCTTATAACCTGTAAGGTAAACGTTATCATCATACCTTGCTATTGGCCTCCTCTGACAGTTCTTCCTGTGTTTCTTTCAGTCGACGTTTATACATCTCTGTCTTCCTGTCACATTCACTGATGAACGTCTGCAAGTGCTCCATGGCCTGAAAGAGATACAACAGATTAGAAAGTGTCATTTTATTTACACAAGACATTACACACAAAATTAACCTTTTTAACATTTAAAATATGTTTTATTAATCATGCACAGACACTTAAATTTATTTTTCATATCTTAGGTCAAAATCAACATGACACATACATATCATTTCTTTCTTTTTGTAAACATATTTAAATTTCAAAGAGAACTTTCAATTAATTTATTTCAACAAATTGTTTGTGATTCTGCAACAGTTACTGGATTGATCTAATTAATGCACTTCTAGAAAATATCTTAACAAATTTCTGTGAATACACGGCCAGGGTAAAAGTTTATTATGAAATTCTTCAAGCTCTAAGTTTCAAGCTCTATTTGTTTGGTCAGAAACCAGTACAGAATGTGAATTCACTAATGAAAACCCTGAGATCCGAGAAAGATATCCAAGAAAGGTTTTTTAACCTTAGGGCTAGAACAGTCAAATACTAATATGTTTATCTAAGTAGTTAATATTTACCAAATTGTTTAGTTTCAACATAAAATAAAATTTTGCTCTGACTTAGAGCCAGGGAACTGAAAGATAATTCCTTAACACTCCCAATAAACAAAACTAACAAAGGTAAAGGTTGTCTGAAGAGCAGCACACTTCACTTTTCTCATTAGATAGTAACCTGCTCTTTGATTTTATGACCAATGTTAATTTTGTTATATCAGGTACCAGTGACCTTGACCTTTGGAGTAAAAGGTAAAACCTATCAAGGTTCAATCATTGCAATATCATTGTTAGTATTGAAGTTATTGACCATAAATGAAATATTTTACCAAAAAGGTTAACCAAGTTCACCATGACTATTGTTTTGCTATATTTTGGAAAGTTGTGTTATGAAGACACAATTTCTTTTACACTTACATCAATATCATAAAAGTAGTCTTTCTTCTTTGAAGCGGTTTCAAAGTCAGCTCTTAAAGCAACATCATGATATTTGGGGCACTCACCCAGGTCCATTCTCTGTAGAAAAATAAATGTTATCATTAATAGTCTACCTCATTTCATTGTTCTAATTATATATACATTACTAGAATTCTTTTAATCTAAGTGCTACATTTCCATAAAAACATGTATATTACTACATTTTTATACATAATCAAGAAAATGAAGGGAAAAAAACTGTTACCACATAAAAATAAAGTACAAATAAAACAAATTTATAGTTCATTTACATTACCACATTTCATTATATACTAAAATACATGAACACATCACTATATGTGTCCAAATCTATTTAATCTTCCCTACCAAACTTTATTGGTATTTTTATATAAAATTTGTCATAATTATCAACACAAATTACATTTTGCGGAACTTTTATCACATATTTCAAATTTGAACAATAATACATGTAGCTTATGTACATATTGATGGATTACGTACCAAGTTTACTCTGGCAGGATAAAGAAATCCCTTGAACCAAAAAGCTTCTTAAATCGTTTAAAAATTCAATAACCTACCGTACTGGAGAGAATATCATGTGGACAGCATCCAAGAAGGAAACTTTTACATACTCTAGGGTCATCGAATTTCATCTGACATCGTGATGTATCCCCTACAAAAAGTAGCCAATCAAATAATGTAAAATTACGAATATAAATGAAGTGAAACAGATGAATATCCTTGATCAATTTGACCATTATACCAATTTGAAAATCACTTTGCTTGCAATGAACAATATACATTTTTATTTCCAAAAATGCCTGTTATTTTATACATAATTTATATATAAGGTACACAATAATTGTATTCCACTTCACTAAAGTATAATCTAGGATATTTTAGGATAGGATGGGAACCACTCATTGGAACCACCCATTGCCACTTCACATTAGTTACTCTATGATAAAGTCTTAGCAAAGTTACTCTTACAAGTTTTCTAATTAATTAAGTCATTTTTTTTGTTACACTCCATACTGATCTCTGTATGAGTGCTTCAGCGAATAAATGACAATATTTATTATCCGGTTCCTTTCTACCCTTTTAACATGACTGCTCTTTCAGCCTTCAATCCCTACAAAATGAAGGTCTCTCATCAAACAATTATGGTCTTACTCACACGCTTAAAATGAAACAAATAAAAATTTTAATCTATACATGTAGTACAAAATTTATGCCATATTGAGATCTTTGACTTGGTCAGGTTAGATTGTTAATATAATCATGATGAAGAAACTGAAATGTTATATATTCATGTCCTCATCTTTAACAGTGAAAGCAATGCTTATTTCTTGGCCATTTTTTTCTCTCTTAAAATATTGTTCATTGCAAACTACACTTGTTAAACTATCTGAAATTGCACATTTTCATGGACAATAAATTTATAATTTGTTTTGTATGGTAGCAAATTTTATTCATATTTTGTGAGTAAAAAAAACTTTAAAAAGTATCTTTTGTGATAACATTTAGAAAATATACCTATAGTAATAACTATAGTAGTATCAAAAGATCTATCAAATAGGCAAAATTTAGAGTAATTTCAGATAATTTTTCCAACCAAAAGAGGAAACCACCCAAAGATACAGTCAATCATTTTGAAACTAATCTTTTCTTTTATCAAATTTAGCAGCATTTAAAAATGTATTAATATGTTACAAAAGAACAATAATTAAATGTTTACAGTTACCTTAAAAATTAAACTTTGTATGAGAACAGACAAAAATACAAAAAAAAATTCAATCTTTCTCACTTAACCTCAAATTGGGAAAGGAAATACCTAAAAATAGTACAATTATCAAGTAGATGCCCATGGGCAACATGTTGAGCCTGTTGTCACATCTGACCTCGAGACCTTTGACCTAGCCACATGGTTATTGCACATAACACTCCATCACATTATTGTGAACATTTGTGCCAAGTTATTTGAAATTATGCCAACAAATGACAGAGTCACAACCCAGACAAACATAATCCGAAAGGACAGCTGGCTGCACGCACACATGCATGTACACCAAGAGGTACACCAAACTGCCATTTTGATAACTATGTCAAGCTCTCCGCAAGCGGGCTTGACAAAAAATTGTTCACAATCTGAATAAAGCTGGTTTATTAAATGAATTCATTTTTTTGTGTTAAATTTAGTTTAAAAAGTATGTATTCTTCACCAGATAAAAGAATAGAAACATAGGAATAAATTTTAGCATAAAAGCAATAATTTTGTACATACTGTTTCAAGTTCAAATTTGGATGGTTTCCTGCAAAGAGTACAATTAATTCCAACCATATATGACTTATAAATATTTTCTTTAATCAGAGTACAACATAATTACCGACTGATGTACCCAATGCAGTCCAAACATATATGGAGTATATACATACATTTCATATATATAGTCACACACAGAGTAACTTACAGTCTGTTGGTTCCCTGAACAATCACCACCCACATTTCATAGCAACAAGCTAGGAAACAAATCCTAAATCTAAACATTTTCTATGCATTTATAATACATACAGTTCTGCAAACATCAGCTACATCATTTTCCTTGGACAGCTACATAAAACAAAATTAATTATTATTTAAGATTCACGTATACTTGTGATATATATGTCGCATACGTACACGCAGCAGTCTGGTCCAACATCCTTTTCTGGTTTTCCTTTTTGCAACAAAAAAAAAAAAAAATTTGCGTAAAAAAAGTTGAGCTTTTTTTTTGTTTTGGGACTAAGTAATGTAAATCATTTATTTGGGATGTTTTGTTTTTATTTAATTTATTCTAAAGGTAGTGCATCCATTATAAGCCATTGGAGCAAGATTACATCAGGCATGTTTTGCCACTCTGTGTCTTTTACTTTTTATACTAGACTAGAAAAATATGTATCAATAATAATTCTATGATTTATAATAGCAACGCTGAAGTCTATGAACTTAGCTCTTTGTAAATGAATGTAATACCTTTAATAGTAAATGTACCCAAGTTTTTAAATCATTGGTACGTACCCATGTTCTAGTCCTTTTCAATTCGTTCATCTACTTTATCACGACAGGAACTTATAAAATTATTTTCCCCTAAAATTTTTACGTACCAAACTGCGAGTCACCAGGATGTACAGCACTGAATAGATTTCATGTGCATAACCTTCTACATTTTTTTTTCACTATTTATCATACGTACATAGTCTGGATATTTGGACCTTTATCCTCTGAGCTTTAGTAAGAACTAGAAAAAATGGCTTAATAAACATTAATCACTTTTCAAGTAAGCAATTTAAACATAACAAACTTATATTAAGTGAAAATTATATAGTTTTAAAACAATTGCAGGGCCCTCATTTCACAATAATTGTTGCCAAATTATGGCCCCCATACCCTCCTTGTCAGTCAGTATATATTTTTCCTTATTTATTTTTTTTTATTACTTTTTCTGCTTTTTACCAAATAAAATAACTTATTGATGTTCATGGAAAAATCTCCCTTTTTCCAAAAGAGGCAAAATTACTTTACTTCAGGGTCTCTGGCCCTGTCCTTTGTAGTATAAATAGGGCCCTGAATTGTGACTTTGTTTTAATTACAGAATTTCTCCCATAAAAATTGCTTTAAAGTTCAGAATGAAAAGAAGTCATCGACATTCAGTTTTATTAACTTTCTTTGATCACAGTATCCTGAAAGAAAAAACCCTACTTTCCTCATTAAAATTCAAATGAAAGGGCTGGTTGGGCAAGCTTTTTTGAATGCCCCTTCTTTTAAAATGCTATTAAAAATCAATAGATCATCAAGTGTCTATCCTTAAAAAAACATTTTAAAACAGAAGTGTACAAATTCTTTAATCATGACATTTTTTTCAGTACCATATTCTTGAAATTTCATACTATTCGATAAAGTAAGAAAGAAAAGTAAAAAGACAAACAAATAAATAAACAATTAGATGATTAATTCCTGCAACTAAGAATTCATATTTTAACTCACGGCTCAGCCATCATCAGCATTATTTCTGTCTAGACTTCGCATATGTAAAGCCTCCTTAAAAACAACAATGCATTAATTTGTTAATAAATTGCAAACAAAAAACCTGCGAATGTATACATAGACCTCTTCAGTCAAATTCAAATTTCCAAATTCATCAACATTATTCAATTAACTTTTAAGTTGCTAATATAAATAATAAAACTACTTATTCACAATATGTCGGAGTCACTTTACTTTTTCAAGTTATTCACTTCAACAGTAGTATTATAGAATTTATTTTTAAAGATGTAAAATGTAAGTACAATTGTTTGCAAATGTCATGGAAAGCATCACAGGTTTTGAAAAAGTATGAATTTCATCTCATATGTGTGAATGAATAGCTTTTAAATTAACACTGGAAACAGTTCTTACCAATTTCCAATACACTTTACCTTCATTTGAAATCAAAATATATCTATCTTTGATCCCTAGAACTTTATTATAGTGTATGACATGTAAAACTCATAACTGACATGGCAAAGGTATGAGCTCATACACGTATATTTATTTTATGACACACTTTAGTCTTCACTATTATATTTGTCACATATTTTCTTTCTGAACACCAAGTTGAAAAATAATTGCGACTTAATGCTCTGACTGATCAATACGATGAGTAAGAAAGAACTTAAATTTACAAATTTTATGGGATGTATCTACAACAGAAAAAAGAAAGTTTATTGGCAAGAATATCTTGTCTAAGTTTACCACTATTAATATTTGTCAAGAAAAAGAACAGTAAGAATGTAAGGAAAATTTTAAGTGGTCTTAATAACAATTAAGTTTGAAAGATATTATGCAGATTTATATAAGAGAAACATAAAGCATACATACATGTATGTTATATTTATACTTATTTGTAAAAATGGAATTTATAATTTGATTTACCAAAAACAAAAATGTATGGAATGTTGAAAATGGGTCCCTCAACATTATTAATGTTTACCACTAACTGTGACTGTAGTACTCTGTGATTGTCAAGAAATACAAAGTAATGCAAGATATGTGAATGTGATCACAAACTAACCAACTTACAGTTACAGTCATTGGCTGCAGTGAAAAGACCTCTCATTAAAATCATTATTATGGTAATATGGAGTCTAACTGTTATTCAATATATCAAGTTCATAACACATTTCGAAATATCATAATGTAAAAATAAAAAAAAAACGTGGTCTTCTTGATCCAAAAAAATTGGGTACGAAAATAAACGGTACGAATACTAATTAATGTTTTAACTTTTGCCTTTTTACATACCATCCCTAGCAGTTCCCATCAACTCGTCCAGCATAGCCCGAACCTGATCGTGGGCTGACATTTTTATCGGTGTATCAGCTTTGATTATACTGCATATATATCATTAAAAGTATTTTTAAACTTAAAAACCGCAACGTTCACAAAGCAAATATGGCCGTCAAGGTTGAATTGGACTAAATAAGCTCCTCTTCAGTGAACACCACTAAATAATATCCTTCCACAGAAATACAATACTGTAGTGATCTATTTAAGGTGACAACGGAGTCAATTATCACTGAAAATACCTAAAATGAGTTTTTTTGCTAAGTAGATTTATCAACCTTTTCTGAACACATTCGTGATTTAATTTTGGAAGCAGTTAGTCCAAAAAATGTGTTTTTAAACGTTTTAAAACGGTACCTATACTATTAATTTTGTAACTGCTACTCGCGTAACCTGTCGATTATCGATAACGCTCCGCCCCCTGTTGAGGCATCAATGAGGGAAATCGGTAGTTCCATATATCCGTGAATTACAGGTCCATACTTCTCGTAATACATGTATTGTACAACTACCGTACATCTTTTATGAATATCTCAACATTTAGCCTTTTTTATAAATTAAGAAATTGTCGGCCAATGTACGTAACATAAATAATTAAGCATAGCGGCAAATCGCACAACCACGGGGTTGAATAAAAATGTAGTTGCTAAAATATCCATAATGTGTGAAAATAATTTGTCTGTCCCGTTAATCTGATACATATTACATTGAGTTGATAGACTTTTGTACGGATTCAAGGGCTTACTTTACATTCAACCTCGTTTTCTATCAATGTCGAGTAAAACAACAACAAAAACAGACAACATTTTTATGTGAACGCCTATATGACTTGTGGTAAGGTGTACCTGACAAATTTCTAAACCATTTTAGATTGTCTAAGGATGATTATTTCTCTATGAATAAAAAAAGAAATTAAAATATATTTTCAGTGAAAATAAATTGTTCGCCAGTAAATCGGACACAGTACTAATAAATCTGGGACAAAGTATGAAATTTATTGTCTATCCCGGTAGAAACTGGATCTCTATGCCGTGCATAGATGATATTCATAATAGAAGTCAAGAAGGCCATATCATAATGATGGAGTAATACCTTTTATTTCTATTAAAATATGTG